GCACAAATCGGAGCTCATCCTAGCATAGAAAGGGGGCGTGAGCTGGGATCGCAGCCGGGTTTGAGTTCCCACTGTGCCACCAGCTAGCTGGGCGACTTTGTCCTTCTTGTCATCGTTGCGCCTTTGAGGCCCTGTCCCCCACCTCCAAAGCTGCTCGTGTTCTCACAGAGGACATTTCTGTGCCCTGAGTTCTCTTCGGCCTCATCCCTCCGAACGCCGACAGTGCCACACGGGTCCTTTGCAGGCACTGTGTCCCCACCTGCAGTGCCCTGCGCCACCTGGCCGGCCTTCCCACACCCACCTCTTTTGGCTCTAGGCCTCCTCTTTGCGGCGTGGGGTTTGGTACAGACAGAACCACATTCTGCCTCTGGCTCTGCCACCTAATGGTTGCTGGCGCCTTGGCGAGGCTCGTTAGCCTCGCCGAGACAGGTTTCCTCCTCTATAGGACGTGTTAATGCCACTCAGCACACGGGGTTGCCACAAAGGCTAGAGTCTGCGCTTTGATACAGATGTGAGGCTGACTTTTAGGGCTCTCCGGAAACGGCAGTTTTCAATGTTAGGTGACGTGTTTGTTTATTCGTTCATCTCCCAATGAGGCCATCGGGCGGGGACGGTCGGTGCCTTACACCCAGCTCCCAGCACTAGAGCATTAATTAGGTGCCCAGGAATGTTTCTCGAAGTGGAACCATAGGCCAGCCTTGTCCTTCTACCAATGAGGAAACCGGTTTTAATAGGCCAACAGTGTTGTTTGTCAGCAGCCAGTAGTCTGCTCTTGGCTCTTAGTCATTCCTTCGGGAAATAGCAGTGGAGAGTGCGTTCCGACCTGCATTGCCAGGCTCTGTCCTAGGCACTGGTCTGTAGCAGTAGGAACTGGTCAGCAGAGGGTACGGATTTAGCTCATTCGCATTTTGCATGAGGGCAGAGTAGAAGGAATAACGCATTTAGCAAAGGTTTAGCGAATGCCTATAATGTGCCAAGCATTGTGCTGGGCGCTGGGTGTGCAAATCTGGGCACGGGGCTGTGGTGGTGGGGAGCTGGGAGTGCTGCTCTGAGGAAGCGCCGCTTAAGCTGGGGCTGGAAGGAGAGGGACCTGGGCAGTGCAGACGGAAGTGGCCGCGCAAAGCCCTCCTACTTCTAGCCAGCTCTTACCTGCGTGGCTTCATGGCCCACCTTTGCTCTTTCCTGCAAACCTCTGCATTCATTGCTTGGCCAAATTTTCCTCCTTGCGTTTTAATGAACTCTCTTTATAGTGTCCCTGACTTCTTATGTCTTCCCAACAAAATAGGAAGTACCTAGTTTATTCATTTCTCCTTCCCTGAACTTCACAGTGAGCTGCTCTCATTTTCCCCCACCCCCATCTTCAGTGGAGACCTCAGTGCCCCACCCCCAACCCCTTGGAGCCGGCCATTCCCGAAGCTCTTTTTTGCACGCACATGTGTGACTCTGAGGCCTTGCCCTGCGCAACATGCTGGGGGGGGGGGCTTCACATTCCTGCATCACTCCTAGAAGCCCCCAGTCAGTGACTAACCTGCCCTCAGCCAGGCCAGCTCTGGAGTGGTCTCCTGTGGGCCCCAGCAGATTTGAACCCCAGGTGCCCATCGCAGTAACATTCACACACCCCGAGTTGACCTCCTTCCCTTCCACACCTCCCTCCACTCCTTCCGGGGCTTCCCGAGGTCATGTCCCAAATAAACTACTTGAATTCAGATCCTCAGGACCTGCTTCTGGGGACCCCAAACTTAGAGGGTGGTTTGGGGGTCTTGGTAAACCACCCCATGCCTCCCTTTTCATCTCAGAGTGAAAATTTGGAGCAGCACTGAAAAGAAGGAAGTGTGCAGGTGTGACGGGGAAAGGAAAGCCATGGAGACGGGAGAGAGACAGGAGTTAGGCTCTGCTGCTCAGTGTCCCCGTATCTTAGTCTTCACAGTGAACAGCTTTGCAAGATGGTCTCTCCGCCCCCATCCCTACAGGTGGAAAAACGGAGCCCAGAGGGATTAAGTAACCTGCCCAGGGTTCACAGTCTGGCAGCAGCGCAGCTGAATTCCTGTGCAGGCTTCCGCCTCGGTGTGGTAGCTCTCACACCAGCGGCAGGGCAGGGGTCAGGCACCTGGTGCCAGGGTGGTCTGCAGATCACAGTAAGATCTCAGCATTAGATCAGAAACAACTAAGTGTGTAATTTTGTGCCAAATCGAATGCTAGCATCTGATGTACGGGTATAAGAAACAGCAGGGTCCGGAAGTTTGGAAGCATTAATGGAAGAAAAACTTGAGAAAAACCGGTCCGTCAACTTTTTTCCGGTTAGGGGAACAGAGCAGAAGCCTGCTTTGTCCTTGGAGCTTTGTGGCAGTGACGGGGTGGCTGCCGTACAGTGCAGTCTCCAGCTGCCTCCCCAGAATGCGGTCAGGGGTCAGCATTGATGATCTGCCTTCATCCCTTGCCCCCTAGGACCGAGAGTCTTTAATTTTGTGCTCAAGAGAGAGAGAGAGGGGAGCAGGCATTAATTGAGCAACTGCACACCTCCTACTCATTCTTCAATAAAAGCCCCCTCCTCCAGGAAGGCTTCCCTGACCACTGCTGCAGGCTCATATGCTGCACAGCACTGAACCCTCACCCACTGCAGCCTGTCGTGATGCTTCACTGAAATTTCCTCCCTCGTCTGTGTGTCTCAAACTCGGAGCAGGCCGGGCCTTGTTCATCTTTCTATCCCCGAACAGACCCCAAAATGTCGTACATATTTAGTAAATGTATGAATGGGTGAATGTTTCAAACACTGTGCTTGTTCTTAGAAATACGGAGAACTTTTTTTTTTTCAATGAGTTCTCGTTCTGAAGAACTTGTGGTCTAGTGAGGGACTAGAGAGATGAGTAAAGAAAGAACCAGTTGTAGGCAAGTGGCCTGTTTTTGACGCTGCCTGGAGGCCTCAGTGGGGCTTTCACAGCAAGTTGGTTTTAAGTCAGTGGCAGCCAGGGGTGGGCACCACCTGTAGAGACAGGAGGTGTAACACAGGATGACCCCTCTGAGAATCACAGAAGGACTCTAAATGGCTGGCTCATCTTTCTAGATAATGAACCTGGAAAAATGTGTTGGGCCCTGACATGAAAGCTTTGAACTTCATGCTATTCGGTATAGACTTTAGGCTAAATATTAGGGGCCACCGATGAAGGTTCTAATTGAGGGAAAGATGGAGAAGACTTCCCAGCAGCACCTGCCCTGCAGGTCCCCCTCTCCCTCTGTCCTTGCAGAGCCTGGGGCTGTCGCTGTACTTGTTCAGATATACTCTCACCTCTTCGCTGGGTCTGGGGTTACATTAGGCTTCTCCGGAGACATGGAACAAGCAGGAGACAGGCGGGGATTTAGCATAAGGTACTATCTCACACAGTTAGGAGGTAGGAGGCCGAAAGTCCGCCTGAGCTCTGCAGTCCAGGGGCCTGAGAACCAGGGCAGCCTAAGGTGAAGGTTCCAGTCCCAGGTCTGCAGGCAGGAGGAGACCCAGGCCCCAGCGAGACAGCCAGTTCTCCCTTAATTAGCCTTTTCTAATCAGGCCCTGGATTGGGTATGACCAGCCCACACTGGGGAAGGCAGTCTGCTTTCCTCAAGTCTGCAATTCAGATGTTAATCTAATCCTGAAACACCCTCACAGACACACCCAGAACACCCAGATTAGTGCTTCCCCAGCTGTCTGGACCTCCCCGAATGGATCCTGCCTAGTTGACACAGAATTACCCACCACAGAGAAGAGAGGAATAGCTGTAGAACTGGAGTGGATCAGCGGGAAGGTGGGGAGGCCAGTGACTGAACAGTGCTGACCCTCTTAGTACGTCCCCTCCTCGGCCATTGTCACAGCACCTCATCAGTATACTCACATGTAAGCGTCGACTGCTTGCTAGACAGCTATTAGAGATTGCTTTTACGAGACTAAGAAAACTGGTCTTCCTGTAGGCTACCTTCTCCCTCCATTTTTATCTGAACACAGCAGTTAGAGTGATTTTTATAAACTTAAGTTGAGACTTTGTCACTCCTATGGTCAGAACCCTGCAGGGCTCTTCAGCACGTTCAGAGTCAAAGCCAAGGACCTCATCACGATGTAGGAAGCCCCGTGACCTCATCTTTTACCCCCTTCCCCACACTGGTTTTCTGCGCAGCACGGCCTTGCTGTCGTCACAACAGATGTGCTGTCCCTGACACCCAGGACACACCCAGACCTTCAAGGGGACTCCCTACTTTGCTCAAGTCTCCGCTCAGGGGTCGCCTTCGCTGTAGGGCCCTCCCTGACCACGGTGTTCGGACTTTCGGCTCCCAGCCCGGGCCGCCCGTCCTCTCCTGTACCCTGCCCAGTTCTGCGTAGCTCTCGTCGATTTTCACAGGTTGTGTCATTTCCTTCTTTTATGTGTGAGTGTCCATTTCCTGCCACGGTGAGGCACGCGCCGTGGGGCGAGATAGCTTGTCTGCCACCTTCCCTAAAACGACCCCGGCCCAGTGCATATTAACCCTGTTGGTTAATAGAGGAGAGCACCCTTTGATGTTACACTTTCAGGTAAAATTGACTTCTGGGTGCTTTCTGTCGACCTGAAAGAAGAGGGAGGAAAGGTATTTCCCTTTCGCACACGGTCAGTGCTCCACTGAGTCCTTAGCGCCCCTCCACCACCAGGGGGACCAAGACGCTGCAGTCCGTGTGTGTGACGTCTGCAAGGCGTGCGGACCCGGCGTGGCTGGTCTAGCCTTGGCTGCGCCAAAGGACACGCAGCGAAGAGTGTTCATGGTTTTCCCTCTGCTCCTTTGCTGAGACATGTGGGCCGTGGTCCAGGGCACCTGCACAGTGGGGGACAAAAAGCAACTGTGAGGGTGAGCCATTTGATCAGCGTTCAGTTCCTGTCTGCAGCCAACCGTGAGGGTCCTTTGCAGGCACGAAGAGTCAGTAGAGCCGACGGCACAAGAGCGGTGACTGGGAAACACTTCTTTCTGTCCTCAAAGGTGTTTCCTGGGACTCCCTTCCAGACGAGCTCCTTTTAGGCATCTTCTCCTGTCTCTGCCTCCCCGACCTCCTCAAAGTCTCCAGCGTGTCTAAGAGGTGGTATCACCTGGCGTAAGTATTTCTCACCCCGTTTGGCATATGGGGGAGGAGGGAGTGGGGGGGTTACTTATTTATTCATTTGGGTCTGGTGAAACTAAAAACAAAGAAAAATACAGTAGCAGAAAGCAAAGTAAGCATCTTCATATTTCTCTTAACTACTTAGCGTCTTATTCCACTGTGAACGGGAGAAGGCTCCTGGAAGGGAAAAGTCACCTGCCTCTGAGAAGCTCTTTTCCCTGGTTCGGTTCAGCACCCGCTTTACCAGGCCCTGGTCTGTGAAGGGCGTCACACGGGAGGCCCCGCCCGTCCTCCGTGCAGGGGGCGAGGACCCGGGGCCCTGGCGTTAGGAGTGTGGACCCAGCCCCCGCCACCGCAGCTCTGTGTGACCTAGGGAGGCCCTTGACACTTCCCAGCCCCGTCCCCGCCCTTCCCCCTGTCGACAGAATGGCAATGATGGTACCTTCGGGACAGGACGGTTGTGAAGATGCAGGACAGGGACACCGCCTGTGCGGTGTCTGGCTCTGCGGGTGTTCAGCACGTGGCAGCCGACCACTGCTGGTGTGTTGTTGGTTTGGGGGACACCTTTCAGGCGTGGACAGCCTGTGTATGGAAAGGTGGTATCAGGCCAGAAGCGGCGAAAGGAGTTTTTTCAGTTGGAACATTTTTTCCATCTCTTTCCCTTCTCATCCCCACCCAGCCCCTGGCCGTCCACCCTCTCCTTCCACATTTCAGGGACTCTCACTGGGAGACAGGGGGACCCCTTCCTTTCCATTCAGGGGCGTGCTGGAAGGGAGACGCCCTTGGTAGGTATCTACTGTTTCGCTCATCCCACCCCAGTGACCCCGTCTTAATTTTCTTCTTCCGCCAGCTGCCCTCACCATGCAGAGTCTGTCGCTCTTTATCTCAGTTGTCATAAAGTAATAGCAGACGGGTATTAAGATTAAGGGCCCGGCACCGCAGTCCTGCCTTCTTACAACAGAAGCCAAGTAGCATGTTGGCGGTTTCTTTATGCAGAATTACTTCACAGCCCGTGCCATGGTCTGCTTCCTTAAAGCCGTGATAAATGAATAAAGTTCTGGTAGGCATTCAGTTCTGTTCCCTCACGTGCTGGGCCTGTGCTTCCTTTCTAGGCCCCTGTTTCCTTCCTCAATTCCTTGCATTGCATTAATCTGGTGGTTAAAGCTTCCTCCTTGTGTGTTCAGTACTGGCTCCTCCTTTTTGCTTTAGAAACACTGTCCAAAACCTAAGTGATATTTTCCCCTTGTCCTTTCATGGTAGTTCATATGTGTACGTGTATTTCTGTGCATGTGTGGGTGGGTGTGTTCAAGCTTGAAGGGTGTTACCAAACAGAGTTGAACTGTAACATCTTTTTCCTAGAAGATGTCCGGGTGGCATATCTTACAATAAAGTGGTGCCAACTTTGCTACTTTTAGTTATATTTGCATGTTATTTAGGGTCATCATGGTAACCTGCTTATGCTCAACAGAAGTGGCAAGTGGGGTCACCAGGGCCATCGGAACCTATCCACCTCATCAGGAATCCATTGAGCAATTTGAGCAATCATTTTTAAAGGTGCCAAATGGCATCGGGCACTGGGATGTTAGTCTCTGAGTCCACATGCCGCCCTTGCTGATGGCAGCCTTGAACCACCTAAATTAGAAATCCGTGGGGAGAGGAACCTGCAAGCGTCTGCATGATAGAGCCAGGAAATGTTCGGTGGTGCCTGCGAGCTGTCACAGCTGATTCACCGTCACCTGAGAAACAAAGGTGTCTTCAGAACTTGCTTCCGGGGATTCGGTGGCCACGTCCGCCTTGTCAGGGGCGGTGTCGAGGGCCTTCAGTGTCCGGTCCCCCGGCTCACCGAGCGGAGCCCCCTCTTTTCCAGGTTTGACGAGTCCCTCTGGCAGACCTTGGACCTCACAGGGAAAAACCTGCACCCAGACGTGATCGGGCGGCTGCTGTCTCGAGGGGTGGTCGCCTTCTGCTGCCCGCGGTCATTTGTGGACCAACAGCCGGTAGTTGAACATTTCAGGTAAAAAAGAAAAATTCTGGGAGAAAACTGTTTCTAAATCTTGCAGTGGAAACAGATCCAAACTTTTTCCCCCTTTGCCCAGCCTGACACAGCCTGTGACAGACAGTAGGGGTGGGAGTTGCATCTTTGTTCTGTGGTCCCAGGGGCTCAGAGACCCCCCACTCATCTGACTCAGGGTGGCTGATGAACTCCCACCAGCTCAGAGGTGCACCCTGCTGCCCCCCAGTGCCCGAGTCAGAGGAGACAAAGAGCGTGTGAGGAGTCTCCACTTGGGGACCTCTGGCTTTCTGGTTCCGTCACCTGACACTTCTTCAGGTGACAAGTGTGCCACCTGAGGAAGTGTCCTCTTTTTGTTTGCTTTGTAGAATAGTTGGAGGAACCGTTTCCCTGTTGCTGAGTGCTGTAACACTCGGTGCTGTGACGGGGCTTAGTGCTTCCTCGTGCAGCACTCGGCTAGACTCAGTAGACACTGAACAGAAGAATAAGCTGCAGACGGAAGGAAGGACGAAGTGTGTGTCCTGACTGGAGCACTTCCCTGCCTCTCCCCGTGGTCGGGGGCTGCTTTCTGTCCTTCCGCCGTGGCTGCGTCCTCTCGCCTCCTTCTGTCGAGTGTCCTTTGGTCACTCCGGGGTCTGTCCCTAGCTGCCTTCTCTCTCAGTCTGCACACTGGCCTGGACGAGCTGTGTCCCCAGCGCCCACACTGTGCTGGGACCCTCCGGTCCTCATCTGCAGCTCCACTCTTTCCTTCAAACGGACCCCCATTGCCAGGGACCCAGGAACTGCGAGACCTGGATTTCCTCCAGGCCCCTCGAGGTCAGCATATCTGACATGAACTCAGCCCTCCTTACAACTTGCTCATCGTCATCTTCCCTGTTTGAGTGACGTGCCACGGCCAGCCCCCCACTGTCCTCACCAGCAGTCATCACGGGCATGAGCTGGTCATACACATCCAGCTCCTTCTCACCATGCCCACTGATTAATTTCTAAGGGGGACTCTGCGAGCCGAGACATCTTGACTTGGCAAAAATCCTCTGGGGTTTTAAAGTGAATGAGGATGGGAATTAGCTAGGAGCAGTTCGTTTTATGGCAGAAACTATAGGGACTTCCTGAAACGCGCATTTAGTGTCTAGCTGGTGATTGGCTGCTTGTCTGGGGAGGGGGCGGGGCAGGTTTGACCTTGACGGACGGGCCGCCTTGCAGAGCCTCTCTTCTCTCCTGGGTCCAGCCCTTTCCGTGTACAGCACCTGGACCTGTCGAACTCCGTCATCGGTGTGTCCACCCTGCACAGCATCCTGTCCCCGTGCTCCAAGTTGCAGAACCTAAGTCTGGAAGGCCTACAGCTTTCGGATCCCATTGTCGAGTGAGTGAGTGGCAACCAGGAGCGTGTCATGGAAGCCGGATGTGTGTTTGTTTCGCTTCCTGAGCATAACTGGGGTTCCCTGCTGTCCCTGCCCAGGTGGACTCAGAAAATAGCCAGTGCAGTGCATCAGCTTCCGAAACTTTCTGGGACTCGTCTAGGCAACCTGAGCGCGCCCGCTAGCTATAAACGGCCTGATGCTAGGTGCTAGAGCCTCACTCTGAATAAAAGCAGGGTCCCTGCCCGGTGCTGGGAGAAGCGGGTGGTTACAGTGCAGTGTGTTTGTCCATTTTGCCGGTGACTGTGTGGCAGCATACACAGCGAGACCTAATCAAACACAGGGAGGGCCACCTTCCTAGAGGAAGTGACTCGGGCTTGCGAGCTAGATAAAGCTCCCTGTGGCTCTAAACTGCTAAGGAAGCGCGAACTGCAGGAGCACAGGGCAGGGGGTGGCAGGCGGGTGCGGGGGAGGACAGGTACGGACCTCAGGGATCCGATCTCAGTGGGCCCCGCGGTGCTGGGAGCAGTGCGGGCTCTGCCACAGGCTGTAGAGGAAGTGTGGTGAAGGGTGTGCTGCTGAGAACGGAAGGAACATGGCCAAGTTGAAATCAGAAAGTCAACTCCCTGAGCACCTCAGAGGATCAGCCAGACACGGGAGGAAGAGATCAGGTGGGACTTGGTTGTGTCCCTCCAGGTGGGAAATGAGGAGACCCGACGTAAAAAGTAGAATAATAGTAATGACAAAGATAGCAGCTGACGTTCACTGAGCACTTACTCCGTGCCAGGTACTAAATTCTTTAAAGGTTGTCTCATTTAATGTGCACAGCAGTCAGACAAAATAGGTTCGTGTTGTTACCATTTTACAGATGTGGCATCTGAGGCACAAGCTGAACATCTTGTCCAAGGTCACACAGTTTGTAGGTGGCAGAACCAAGGTTTGAACCTGTCAAGGATGATTCCAGGACTCCTGCACTTAATCACTGAGTTTCACTATCATGAGGCATTTGAGAATGTAGAACAGAGGGGAAGTTGAGAGACATTTAACTGAAAGAACACTGTAACTATAAGTAGAAGTTTGCCTACAAGTTAATTCCAACTATGTGTGAAATGGAAATGTGTGTATGCTATTGCTTTTTTAAAAAAAAATTTTAAAGGTACCTTGAAGAATGTTTCTTGTGCATTTACTCTGTGCCAGGTGCTGTGTTAAACCCTTTATTACATTATATCATTGCATCATTTAATTTTAATTATATTTATTACATCATTTCATTTCAACAACCAAACCAAGAAGGCACTGATCCTGCCATTTCACAGACGAGTAAACCAAGGCAGAGAGAGCATCCTGCTCAGTGTCGTGCGCACAGTGAGATGCGAATTGATTTGTTTTATTTTAATTTTTAAATTAAACTTACTGGGGTGACATGGATACAGTGTCTATGTATTGCATTGTGCGTTCACTGCCCAGAGTCCTATCTCCTCTGAGACGTGAACCTGAACTCACTTCTGACCTGGAGGCCTGTCGGTGCTCACCTGCCTCACTAGCCTGCTTTCCTCAAATGCTTGTTGATCGACTATGAGTCTCTTACTGTTACTCTTTCGACGTTTTTCTCTTTTCCCAGTAATCTTGCACAGAACTCAAATTTAGTCCGACTAAACCTTTCTGGGTGTTCTGGATTCTCCGAATCTGCCTTGAAGACTTTGCTGAGTAGCTGTTCCAGGTGGGAAAGATTTGAGACTTGATTACAGAACTGTCATTTCAGTGGTACAATTAAACTCACATCCGAATAGAACTGGGAAAATTTTTGAGCTATTCCTAACTCCAAGCTCGTGATTTGGATAATGCAGTGTATCCTTTGCCCTCTAAACTTTCTGTCGGAACTCAGGAGCCAAATCCAAGGAGTTTGCAAAGGATGATTGTGTAGTAAGCCCTTTTTCCTTGTTTCTGTTTTAAAAGTGAAGATGTAGTATGTTTATCAACAGTATGGTCGAAAGAAATCTGTTTTTACCTGACTAGAGAGTCAGGGTTTTTCCCCCTTTAATATCTGTAGACATAACTTAACAGTTTTTGATAAATGTTGTACACTTGAAATCTACACCATGAATTTGGGTGAGTCCATTAAAAACATAATTTACATTGTGTTAATAATGTCAGGGTGTGAACAGAGGGTGCAGAGATTGCTGAGAGGGGACATGGGTCACAGGACACAGTGCCGTGTGTGTGTGTGTGTGTGTGTGTGTGTGTGTGTGTGAGATCCCTGGTCCTCTGCATGTGTCTCACTGCATTGCAACTCTATCTCCTTAAGGATCTGTTGAAAGTCTATTGCATTTGGATAGGAATGTTATCAATGAGATAAACTATCAGCCCTGCATTTTCTCGGGAATGCCAGGAATGGGGTGTGTAGTTTAATGGTGGGATCTTTTCTTTGAATGCCTCAGTGGCTAAGAATCCAAATAGGACCAGGCAGTTTCGTTATTAGGGACCAGGGTGTCAAACTCATTTTCACCGGGGGTCCATCAGCCTGGTGGTGGCCTTCAAAGGGCTGAATGTAATTTTAGGACTGTGTAAATGCAACTACTTTTTAACTAGGGGCAGGGAGCTTGGCGCTGCTGCCAGGGAGCAACAAGGTGGTATTGGGCAGATAAAACAAGGTGGTGGGCCAGATTGAGCCCCTGGGCCTTGTGTTTGCCACTGTGGAAAACATCTCAGATGATTGTTCAATCCGTGTAGTTGTTTTCTAACAATCTGTTGGTTGAGAAAGAAAACAGGCTGGAATTTCTGTACTTCCAGTTCTGGAATGAGGTTTGAGTTGGCAGGAAGGGAGGCGTGTGCTCCCCTTTGTTTCCACAAGGGGGAAGCATTCACTCAGGCCTTGGCTCAGATCCCCCCTCCCCTTCTGCCCCCCTTCCCCCCCCCTCCCCGCCACTTTCTGGAGCCAGCTGGAGCAGGGGACGATGTCAAGGGGAAGCTGGAAAGAGGGGCACCCTTGTGGGTGAGCAAAGGTGGCTTCTGAGAGGAGCAGAGGTTCTGTGCATGAAGTGGTAAGGAGTGCCTGGCTCTGTACGTGCTTTGCAGCCAGAGGCAGGGCTGCCTGGAGACTCGATCCCGTGTGACGGTCCCGTGCTTTCCTTGTTGCCCCTCTGGTGTGCAGACTGGATGAGCTCAACCTCTCCTGGTGCTTTGACTTCACTGAAAAGCATGTGCAAGTGGCTGTCGCGCATGTGTCGGAGACGGTCACCCAGCTGAACCTCAGTGGCTACCGGAAGAACCTCCAGAGAGCGGGTAAGAGCGCAGCTGCCGGGCCCCGGACGGCAGTGGCTTGCTCCAGGGGGCCTCCCCCAAGGACAGCCCTGCCGAAGCCGTCTCTCCGTCCAGTGACTGCATTTGCTCGCGTTTTCCCAGGGAGGCGGCAGCGGATCAGAAGGGTTCGGCAAAGGCAAACAGCTGGCAGCGAGACTTGAATCCAGAGTCTAGAAGCAGAAATCTTTTATACTTTCACACTGTTTATTTATTAATTTGTTATTTTAATCCTCACCTGAAGACATGTTGATTGATTTGAGAGAGGGGGAGAGAAACATTGATGAGAGAGAAATACCGATTTCTTGCCTCCCAAACACACCCTGACCAGTGATGGAACCCACCACCTTTTTGGTGTACGGGACCCTGCTCCAACCAACTAAGCCACCTGGCCAGGGCCAAACACTTTACTTTTTAAACAGAAGAATTCTTTTAATTGACTAGATTTGTTAGGTCAGACTCCAACATAAAAGTAGATAAATGCAGTCTTTGATTAGTATTAAGCAGTGGTTTCGACCAGGGGTCATTTATCCTGCCAGGGGACATCTGGCTGGGTCTGGAGACATTTCTGATGGTCGTGGCTGTGGGTGTGCTCCTGGCATCCAGTGAACAGAAGTCAGGTGTGTACAGAGCAGCAGAACAACGCACAAGGAATAATCTGGTCCAGATGGTGCCAAGGCTGGAAAACCCTGTTATAAGTTGCTCATAAGTCCACACTTAGAACTTACACTTGTGAGTTCAGTCTGAGTACAGGAGGTTGTTTGGATGGACACAGGCATTTGAAATCAGGGCCAGTGCATGACCGTTATAGTCTTCATGAGCCTCAACCTCCAGCTATGGTTTGCTTTCTAAATACAGACAAAATCTTGATTTGCAGAGGTAAGTGTTTGCAAACGGCAAGATTTTCTTTAACAGCTTCACCTGGCGACCGCAGGCTGTGAGCCGTGCCGAACCCAGCGGAGCTAACTTGCTTCAACCCTGTCGTGGTGTCTTGATGTTGCTGTTGGCTCATCTAAGCATTCTGTCATTACAGTTCTTATTATACTTTAAAGATTTGAGTCCCAGATTTGCAGAATATATTTGTCTAGAGATTAAGCAGTATCTGAAAACTCTTGTCCCAGGACGTGGTATGTGGTCTGGTAAGATACATCAGGGTGCAAACAGTAAGAGCTGGGCTCTCCTGAGTGGCCGGGACGTGAGTCCCTTTCCAGGTGCCTGTGTTTTCAGACAGCGGAACGTTGTCCTTAGAGATTTGTGACAGCAGCAGGGACATCTTTCTCACCGCTCCCCTGCACAAACCATGCCTCTCTTCTACTTACTTTCCCTTTCAACACTTTTCAATCTGATTACAGCATGTATATAGTCATTCTTAAAATATGGATAAACATTTTAAGACAAGCCATCAGGAATCTCACCGACATATTTTTCCATAGAAGAGTTGTTTATTTATTTATTTTTAGAGAGGGGCAGGGAGGGAGAAAGAGAGGGTAAGAGACATCGACATGAGAGACAAACATCCATCCGTTGCACCCCAGCCGAGGCCAAACCTGTAACCCAGGCATATGCCCTGACCAGGAATCGCACCGGTGACGTTCGCTTTGCAGGAGGACACCCAACCACCTGAGCCACATAGTCAGGACGAGAGTTTTTTAGAATGGGACAGTGTATTGGATATTTGGTCATATGTTCTTTTTCCAGGTAACCCTCTTTTCAGGGGCCGTATGATACTCCACCCGACTAACATGGGGTCATTTGTGTTGGCTCAATAACAGTGACCTCCTTGTAATGGATGTTCGGAGTCGTCAGACTTTTTTCCTTTTTAAATAGCTTTGTCATGGACAGAGACAACTCATGGAGTGTACTTCAAAGGATGCAGTCTTAAAAGTGGAATTGCTTAGTGAAGGGTGAAGCTTTGTTCTCAAGCTTTGGGTAGTTCTTGTCAAATTGCCTCCCAGGAGGTTTAAACTCCAGTCGGCAAGTGCCCTGTGCACCTAGAGCCCCACCGCAGGTCCTTCCCCGTTTGTCCCCAGGAGAGGAGAGGAGAGGAAAGGACAGGACCAGGCTTCTTCCCGTTTTCTTCTTGTATCTGCATTTCCCATCCCTTCACTGGGATTGTTTCTGAAATGAACCAAGTGCAAGTTCAAAAAACTCTGCTGTGGACAAGCTGCTTGTTAATTTTGTTTGGCTTAATACTTTCTCTTTGTTTCCTCTGAAGAAGAATAGCCAACATGTTTACTGAGTTTTGGCAGCAATAACAGGTAACAAATTCTGCTTGCTGAGCACATTCAGGGCTATGAATATTGAAGTGTCAGTTTTCCTAATTATATTGTGGAAATCAGATTTTTTAATGAATGTCCTAACAATAGCATACTGCTCCACTATATAAAAGGTACAGACTTTATTTTAGCTCCTAGACTAGTACCAGATTGCCTGGGTTCAAGTACCCGGTCTGCCGCTTACTGGCATCCTTAAGTCACTTAACTTCCCTATTGCTCTGTTTAGTGATCGATAAAGTGTAACAGTGGAATCCCCCTCTTAGAAACACTGAGCCGGGCTAAACAGTCCTTGGTACACAGTGAAAACTCAGTAATCACTGGCTGTCATCGCCACCCCCACGCCCTTATTTATCACTGCCCCTCAACCCTTTTTGGGATAATAGGAAAGTGCTGGAGGAGGCCTGGGTGGACCTGGCTTTTGTACTTCACCTTGATGGAAATTGTCTTTCTGTAAAATGACAGATCAGATTCTGTGGTTTCTCAGGTCCCTTCCCCTCAAGTGGATGTCCCATTTGTGGTGCAGTGAAGGGGACAGTGAAGGGGTGTCCCGTTTGTGGTGCAGTGAGGGAGTGATCTCAGCAGCGACTGTGGTTCACTAACCAACCCCCCTCCCCGCCACCACCACTAAGGGAGGACGGGGCTTAAATCAGGGCTGGAGGTGGAGACTAAGCAGTCTCATTGCCCAAGGTTTCCTTCTTTCCTGGGTGGTGCCAAAATAAGATAGCATCTGATTCTGGATTTAATCAGTGGCTGGTTGGCCAGCTCAATGCCGAGTCACTCAAAATTGTGTTGTGCACTTTCTTCATTTTTTTAGTCATTCATTAAACTAGTGTTTATTGAGCACATACAAAGCCTGTTCCAGGCTTGGGCGATGTGGCCTTGAACTCAACAAATGAAGTCATCCTTGCAAGAGTACCTTCTAGTGGGGGAGCCAGACGATCAACAAAGAACTGAACGTTATGAAAGAAGATGAAAATGGAAGGGGGGAAATACAGCTGAGTAACTGGGTAGCTGCAGCAGGAAGGGGCTATTTTTAGATGGAACCGGCAAAGTGAGGAGTGCTCGGTGGAGGTGACACTGGAGAGCAGAGACCTGAAGGAGCGAGCTGCATAGATGTGAAAGGGAGTGAGGGAAGAACATTCTAGAACTAAGGACTGCAAGTGTAGACCCTTGCTGTGGGAGCCAGTGTGTAATGAGGAGGAAGGAAGGCAGTGGTAGGAGATGAGAAACCCGAGGGTGTGCAAGCCAAGGAAAGGCTTCGTTCAGGTTTTTCTCTGAGTGAGGGAGGAAACCACTGGAGTGTGTCCAGCAGGGACTGTGATCCGACTCACACTTTAAAAGTCACGTTGTGCTGCTGCGATCAATGGAGTGGTCACATTCAGGGTGCTGAGAGATGGTCAGAACCCTGACCTGTGTGGCTCAGTTGATCGGTTTCGTTTTGGAAACTGAAAGATGGCTGCTTTGATATCCAGTCCGGGCACAGGCCTGGGTTGCGGGTTCAGTCCTCAGTTGAGGCGCCTGCGAGGGACACCTGATTAATGTTTCTCTCTCACATCAAAGTTTCTCTCCCTCTCTTTGTCCCTCCCTTCCTCTTTCTCTAAAAATAAGTAAATAAAACCTTTTTTTTAAAAAAAGGAAATCGATAGTATTTTGGCTCTGGTCAGCGTGGCTCAGTTGGCTGGAGCGTCATCCAGTAACCAAAATGCCGTAGGTTCGATTCCCTGTCTCCTGTCTGGGCACTTATGAGCCTTGGGCAAGGCCTGTACCCGAGGCAGCCAATCCATGCTTCTCTCTTTAGGAACAGATTCGATATATGATGTGAGAAAAACAGTCATGTGACTGCCAGGATTTTGAACTAAGCAACCGGATCAGTGCAGTTACCACGTACTGAGATGGGAAAGATTTTAGGGAAGGAGCAGATCCAGAAGAGAAATCAGGTACTTGGTTTTAGGCACAAATTGAAGGTGCCTGTTATCTATCCCAGTGGGTATGCTGGGGTATATTGAGGAGGTTGTTAAAAATTCAAGCCTAGGGTTTAGGGGAGGCGAGGGGGCTGAAGAGAGAGCTGTGAAAAGAGAAAAACCCTCAAACGTTAATGAAGGTTTTTGTTTTGTTTTATTCTGTGTTGGTTTGGGGTGCACAGCCTGATGGTTAGATAGTTATACACCTTGCAAAGCCTTCCCCTCGATATTTCCAGTTCCCCAAGCCATGCATAGTTATAGTATTATATTGGCTGTGTCTTCTGTGCTGTACTTTACATCCCTGTGACTGTTCTGTACCTGCCAATTTGTGCTCCTTAGTCTCCGGCTCTTGCACCGCGCCCCCCAGCCCCCTCCGCTCTGGCAGCCCCCAGTTCTCTCTCTGTGTCTGTGAATGTTTCAGTTTTGTTTAATGTATGTTGCAAACGTGTATTTCCAGTTTTCTGACACTTCATTAATTCTGTTTTTATTTTGCTTAAAGATGGTATGTTTTTTAAATTTTCCTGTAGTAAATTACAATATTCCTTTTTATCAGTGTGTTTTTTTTAATGTTTAGAAACTCCTCATCTATCCTAAGATCCAATGAGTAATTACCCAAATTTTTGCATTTAGAATTTTTTAATATGTGAATTTTATTTGGTTATATTAAGTTGCAGAAATGAATGTTTTCTGGTTGTGGTAGCTGCATTTTTTTAAAAATCTGTTACCTCAGCCCTGGCTGGTGTAGTTCAGTGGATTGAGCACAGGCCTGCGAACCAGAGGATCGCAGTTCAATTCCCAGCAGGGGACCCAGGAGAGGCAACCATACATTGATATTTCTCTACTTCTCTCCTTCCCTTCTCCTCTAAAGATAATTTTTTTAAGTTAAAAAAATATTTTTTAAAAATCTGTCACCTCCCTCCCTGAGCTGACGTACTGCCTTCCTGGTGTGGTGTTAGGCTACACGGTTGCGCACCGTTAGCTGATTCACCCTCGGGCGAGCATCTGGGGGTGATGGTGCAGCCCGCCACGTGCCTGGGCTGTCTGGTGCAGCCTGTTCGTTGCTCCTGGGCTGCAAGCCAATGCAGCAGTCACTGCACAAAACAACCTGAGACTGAATCGGGAACAAGAGAAGTGACGCAGCCCCAATGCACAGCAAACACGCGGCGTATAAGGCTGACGCCTGCGTCGCACAACGTGCTGTTCTGCTGCAGACGTCGTCTTCTAAGTAGAAGGAGCCCAGTGTGAAATAATACAAAGTGTAGAATGGTGAGTACGTGAGCACGTCATCACCAGTATTGCGTGCTGTGCGTAAGTGCGCGCGCCGTACTTCCACTCGGCTGGTGGCGCGCAGGTCTGTTTGCGCCAGCACCACCGCAGACACGGGAGCAGGGCCTTTCGCGTCGGCGGTCACGATGACTGTGTCACTGCTGGGACATTGTCACCTCCCTTTTACTCTGTGGGACCCTCATGTGGATGTGGTCCACCTTTGAAACATTGTGTGGCACGGGACTGGGTATGGTGGTGTTTGGTTTTGCCTTTGCTGTTCTGAACGGCGTTCTTCCGGGCTTCGCTGATACGCAAATACATAGCTATGGCTTGTTGTTAACCACTCGTTTCCCGCAGTTCGCTTACTATTTCCAATAGCTTTCAAGTGGCTTGCTTGGGTGTTTAGGGGAGAAGAATCTTGCATGCCAAGATGACAATTTTGTTTTTCTTCCTGACGGTGTGTGATTGACTGTATTGCCCGAACTTCTGGCACAGCGGTAAATGACAGTGTTGATAGCGGACATCCTTGTATTGTTCCTGTAGAGTGACTGTCATTTTTTTTTTCTAGATCTCTCTACCTTAATTAGAAGATGCCCCAGTCTTGTCCACCTAGACTTAAGGTATGTTCTCATTCATTTATTTTAGGAAAAAAAAGTGAAAAATCGTGGTTACTCCTTGAGCGGGGAGAGGATCCATCTGCACGTGTTTCCATGAAGGAACTCGGCAGTGGGCTGCTCCTCCCCCCCCCCGCCCCCTGGACAGGATGGATGGACGGGCGGGCAGGCGGGCGCTGACCCTCTCTTCCGCTCTGTTGCAGCGACAGCATCATGCTGAACCATGACTGCTTTCCTGAGTTTCACCAGCTCAACTACCTCCAGCACCTGTCGCTCAGCCGCTGCTATGACATCATCCCTGAAACTTTACTGTAAGTATCTGTGACTGTCAAAGCTAGTGGGAGGCAGGGACCACAAGAGATGCCACTGGGAGTTAAATCCATTGTTACAAATGGCAGATGTTTAAAATGTAAACATTGATATCAGTGTGCCCCAGACTGGTTAGGAAACACCAGCAAAATAGAAGAACCAAGGCAACATGTTGCACTTAAAATGCCTGGTGAGTTCACTGAAATAAATTAGCATCCATTTCTCATTTCACTGTGAGCAGGTTGAAGTGTTATCATACTGTACTAGCGTCTGGCAGGTTTGCCACGGAGGAAGGTGGCCTTCATGTCCAGGGAGCTCAGGGTGTGATTGGAGAGTGGACTAAGTGGGGTGGCTTTTGTTGTCCCCCCCCCCCAAAGTTTTCAAATCCACTACTGATTCCCAAAGCCTTCACCTGAGCTAGAGGAAAAATTCCATAATCCTCTAGTGATGTCTGTGCTGGATGGTCCAAGAGTGGGAAGAAGAGAAGTATGTAAGTGGTAAATATTGGAAGAGTCTGATGCTCTCTTTGCAAACAGGGCAGGTTGAGGTCCTGAAGAGGGAAGTAACTAAACCCGAAGTTTTCTAGTGAGTGATTGGCTGAGCTGGGTCTACAGCCCAGGTCTCCTGGACAGAGGCCAAGTAGTCTGTGTCCAGTCTGGTGGCTTTTACAAGGGCTCATCCTGTGCCAGCTCAGCCCCTTCCACAGAGTCGGGGAGTGCGAAGGAAAAAGGAACCTGGCCCAACTTTGTTTTTGGAAGTGCTGTACCCAAGTCATGCTGGGAATAACATCTCTTGCTCAATGCTCTTTTTAATCCTCACCTGATGACACTGATTTTTAAAAAGATTTCCTTTCATCCCAAGGCCTGGAAAATTCTTTCTCATATCAAATGTAAACATACAGCAGATTTACTGAAAACCCCGAAAAGCCAGTATCTTGGACTTGGTTGGGTGCCCCTCCCACTCCAGCCAGGGTGCCTGAGGCTGCCAACCTCGAGTAGCTCACTGTCCAAATGAAGATAATCAAGCGTTTGGTTTCTACGAAAGACGGTGGTGAATTTGAACCAAGTATTTATATGGTCCTCAAATTATTGGTTTGGACCTTGTAGGTTAGTTTCAAGAATTAATGAATAAATCAGATACTTCATCTATACAGGGTTAACTAGTAGAATTAGGGAGTCCAGTGATCAAATTTTGAACGACTTGCTTCAATCAGTCTAGGGACTCAGGGTCTCAGCTGGCATCTCATTTAGAAAAGCATTGCCCGTATGGGAAGCCAGTGTTTGCTTCCACAGTTCTTAGATGTTAGGGTCTCATTTCATGTACGCTGGGGCTCTTACTAGAATCCCCTGCCCCTCTAGCACCCAGAACCCCTGGAGCGTCTCAGATCTCCCCAGAAGGTTTCTCTGTCCTCGGTTCTCTCTAGTCCTTGTCACCCCCCGGCTCCAGCATCATCGTCTGCGCAGCCCCCTAGGGAGTGCAGAGATTGTTCTTTTTTAGCTGCTTTTCTCAAGAGAATCCATCCACATGTGTTACTTTTGTTCCTTCTCTGCAGAGAGAAAGAAGCTTAAGCAGGTAATCCCCAAATGCTGCTTCTGGAGCAGAGGCTAAGGGAGGCTGTGAGCCTCCCATTTCACTGCTTTATCCAGTGAGATGCTGACACTTGCAGGTGATACCTGCTGCCTGTGTGACAGATGGTTAAGGGCAGGGGTCTGAAGTCACGTCTGGGCATGGACCCCCCACTGCATTGTTAGGACGAATTTATCTAAATCTTACATGGAAATAAGAGAAGTGGAGGCATCAGTTTAGTTTTAAGTCAGACCACCCAGACAGAGAACAGAAAGAAGAAAAAAAGATGCTGTCCTTGATCTTGAAGGTGAAGAGTATGTTTCTTCAGGCACACAGGCTCACCTTGTGAATCCAATAAGAAGGGTTTGCCAGTACTCTACGCCTAAAAGTTTCTCAAGAGAAAATGCCTTTCCCTCCATCCTGAGCCTTTCTGGCAGCTGTAGCATTTGAATGCATAGGGGGAATTCTTGTACCCTCAGCAATAATTCCCAGAGAGCTATTATATGCCTTTTATATGCCTTTCTCTGTATTTACTCCCTTACTCTTTAATTGGTCTGATTCCCTATGTTTAAACTTTCTTGTAATTGCCCCGTATTTCTCACTCCAGTGAGAAACTCTAGCTGGAGGCAGTGAATTGGTGTGGCATTACACAGGGCTAAATAAGAATTCCTGTGGTGGGAGAATTTGTGGTTGAGGGATTGAAGGTTTTGTAAGGAAAACAGGGTCATGTAGCTGAAGTAAGGAGTGAGCCTGTGAAAGGTTTCCAAGTACTTCTGTTTACTAAAACTAACCAAAGATACCTGAGACATTCTTAATGTCATTTTCTACTTAAATTAGACACGATGGCTCAATACTATTCATTTCTATTTACTGTTCCTTAGTTTGCTTTTTAGTCTCTTCCACTATATTTTTAAAGAGATGCTTATAAAAAAGTGAGTGATACACATACTGAGGCTTTTTTTTTCTTTTTTGTCTCCTTAAGTGTCCAGCCCACAGGCTGCATGCGGCCCAGGATGGCTGTGAATGCGGCCCAACACAAAATCATAAAGTTACTTAAAACCTTTTTTTGCTCATCAGTTTTCGTTAGTGTTTGTGTATGTAATGTATGGCCCACGAAAGCACTTCTTCCATTGCGGCCCAGAGATGAGAAAAGGTTGGACACCCCTGGTTGAAAAACCTTCTGGTTGTTTGGTTGGGAATGGTCCTTCATCCTTGATCTCACCTTACAGAGCTCGCTCCCCCCCACCTAGGACACCTCGTGTCTTCTCAGAGCCTGGTCCAGTTTCCTTCCTCACCGAGTCTCCCTGTTGATGCAGCCCCAAGCACACTTCCTCTTCTGCCACCTGCTACATCCCTTCTCATCCCACCCACAGTTTCTTCTTTTCCATCCTGTCCACTGCAGAATGACTTACCATTTGGCTGACCTGGATATCCCAGAACCACACTTCTCGTGGGTGTCACAAAGTCCTTACACACTCAGATTTCACATACCAGGCATGGGGCAGGATTGCCGCATTCTCAGGTGATAAACGTACCCGTCGGGGCATGGTGGCCTTTCTTCATACTGCTGTTTCTGTGCTCCAGAGAGTAGTTTACGAACAACGATTTGTTCCTTTTGCTTTTCTTTTAGGCCTGTTGTGACCTCCATGTCTTATTGTCCCCTCAGGAACACCAGGCACGTTTATTCTATATGGATAGCACTTCTAGTTTCTACCTCACCTTTCCTGTTACATTAGCTAACATGTATTGTATATCTTTGGTGTCTAAGACACTTTGTTGAATGCCCTCATTCAACATGTAGAATAAATGCCCCCAGAGGTGTGCCGGGAGGACCAGACAAGCAGGTTTGGCAGAGAGGGTCTTCGGACGAGCCGAAAAATTTGAGTTCCTAACTGCTAGGGAAGTGCCAAAGGTTCTGGAGCAGGGGGTGATGTAGTCTGAGCTGGGCTTTCGGAAGATGCCTTGGACTTCGGTATCTAGACTGGGCTAGAAGGAAGGAAAATCGGAGACAAGGTGACAGTTGTTATGAGACAAGTTTGCTGTGGAAGTCACTACTGGCAGTGCGAAAACAGAAAAGGTGCTTCCAGCTCGAGGTCACTGATGTGTCCGTGGATCTGCAGTGGGACTTTGTTGAAATTCCAGACCAAACATTCCCTCTCGGAGACTTTGTACTGTGTGTCCCAACCTGGAGCAAATACAGATCAGAGAGATGAGATCTCTGAGCACACAGATCTGGACGAAGAAGAAAGGATCGTTACCAAAAAGTATTTACTTTGCATAAACGCGCTCCCCTTTTTTATGAGCCAGAATTTCACTGCTGACAGAGTTCTGTGTCAGCAAAACACCTAAGAGAACCAGCCCGTGTGGGAGAGGTGGGAGGGCCGCAGGTGTGTGCCCAACCACGTGACCCTGTCTGGGACTCACCGTCTCGGTGAAGTCACTCATAGGTCCCATCACATGTAAAGGGCATATGGACTGTTAGCCGTTATTAAGAAGTCGCCGACCTCGCCGACATCTTTGGGGATGAGGAGCCTAGGATCCAGTCTGTATCCTTGAATTGCACCTAACCTTTGGTGATTTCCAGTCGATGCCACAGTAAAACACTTCACTTCTACCATCGCCAGCTTGCTAGCTTGTCCTCACAACACAGCAACACCTTCCAGCACAAGTCAAGAATGGGGAAAGGAAGCAAATACGGTTGCATTTCAAATAAACTCTGGAGTTCTTTGGCTGTTAGAAATTGAGCAAAATTGAGAAATTGAGCAAAATTGAGCCTCATTTCCTAAGGCCATGTTGCCCCAGGTGTGGCCCATGCTTTGTTGTTATATTTTCTTAAATCATCTATTGCCATTTAAGTTTTCAGTTTGTATTGTATAGCGTATGATACATATGTCAAAATTGGGTCACGTGACTCTACTGGAACGGTTTCCGTAGATATTACTACTCTGAAAGTCTCTCTCTTCCTTTCCAGTGAACTTGGAGAAATTCCCACACTAAAAACACTGCAAGTATTTGGAATTGTGCCAGACAACACCCTTCAGCTGTTAAAAGAAGCCCTTCCCCATCTCCAGATTAATGGCTCCCATTTTACCACCATTGCCAGGCCTACTGTGGGCACCAAAAGCCACCCGGAGATATGGGGCATCCGATGCCGACTGACGCTGCAAAAGCCCAGTTGTCTATGAAGCTCACGTTGCAAGATGGTGTCTCCTTTTGTCTTTGGATCAGGGAAAATAGGTAGAAGCCTGATTGCTGAAGCACACAGCTCTTTTTATTCTTTGTTTTCCCTTCACCTTCCTTCTACAAGTATATTAGAGAAGCATTTGAGAGAGAAAACTAAGCGGTTTTTGTTTTGTTTTGTTTTTAACGACTATAAAAGCCTCCATCACTGCCTTGCTCCTAAGGGTCTAGTCGTGGGCCTTAGGAACATTTCAGAACGAGCCTGCAATTTCAAGATCCTTCAAGAGCCAGATCTGAGTCATCTCTTCCAAGTGCCCTTCTTATCAAGTCTGTTTTGAAACAAGCTTAAAAATCACCAGAAAGCAAGTCATTTTCTTGATCTCTATGGTACCTCAACTTCCCTCTATTTAATTCTTCAGTGTTGCTTTATAAGACATAGGCTGGAAAAAGGATAAGCTATTCATACTGGGAGATGAACAGAAAGAATCATAGGATAGTCTATTTGAGGCAATCATTCTGGGGATAGAAAAAAGAGAAATACACATTTCAACCTTTGGATTTTTGCCATTAGGTTCAAGAAAACAAATAATCCAAACAAATAATTCATCCTAAAACCTAAATTTTAAAAACCACCCACGGGAGATACGGAATTTGAAGGGCCAGGAGGCCATTTTCTGTGACGGGGTGAGCTGACGTGTGCTCTGATGCACATTAATGAAGTGCCCTCTGACATGCTGTGCTCCCAGAATACCGAAGTAACTGGAGATGTGATTGTACTCTTCTTACTGTATAACCGCATGACGTTAGCGTGAGTTCTTTAGCTTTTAAAATGCCTGGATTTGTTTTATAAGGTGGTGGTCGCCAGTCCGTTTGCAGTGTTGGAGGGAACGCCGAACTGAAGTTGCCTGCCATTTGCCTTTATCGCTGAGGTTCTTGAAGTTATTTTTCTATTACTCTGGAAGCAAGTCTTTTTAAATTGTCTTTTTCCTTTCTTATTTCTTTAGCGTTTCCCACAATCGCTGTTTTACACTACCCACTTTGTCAGGTTACCGGACCTAATGTTCCCTGAGCAGAACCGCCTGCCCCTCAGGCAGGGACTCGCCCACCAGATGCAGGTGTGTGTCCCGTGGTCTCAGAGCAGTAAGCACAGCTTGCACCTGCGGGAAAGTGAAGACTCAGGTGTTGAACCTTTTGATAGCATCAGTGCTTTTTTAATGACCCATAGAAGCAAATGGATTAAATTCTACTTACCAAAAAAATTTTTTTCTTATTTAAATTGATCTCCCCACATGTTCAAAATGGAACAGAAGAGCCAAAACCCATCATTTCTATTAACATCGGATTTTTAAATCAGATTTTTCAAATGTTAGAAACAGTGGCATCTGCCTAAACCTAAGGAGGAACATTTTAAAGTAGTTATCCCAGAAATGATTATGTTTCGATTCTGTAGTAGTTCAAAGGTGCTAAATACTACTTGAGATTATTGTTTACAGATCAGTGACCAGGGCTGGGGACAGGATCCGGTTGGATTCCGGTTCCGGGTGTCCTCGAACACATACTTCCAAACTCAAGTCCAGCCAAAAGCTATTTTGCAAACATTTCGGAGTAATCTGTATTTTTGTATGTGATTTCTACTTTTATAAACTTGTTTTAAAATAAAACACATTTTTAGAAAAATGAGTGCTTCTGCTAAGCTGTATTTCTTTATTCTCTCTCTTTCCCCAAGCACTGTGGTTAAGGTCGGAGGGCGTTTGTGGGGGTGCCGAGTGCCCCAGCCCTGTGAGCAAGGCAGGTCCTGCAAAGGGGGCCCCAGTGCGGTCCTCTTTGCCTCACCTGCATCACGCGCTTCTTGTCAAATTGAAATGATAGTTTGTAATACTTCCTTCCAAGGTGCTAAATACAGGCTTATTTAAAGTGCTTTAAAAACAGAATTTATAAAACTTGGGAAATTTTAATGAATTTATAAAACTTTGGAAATTTAAATGATTGATGAGATTAGTGAAGTGCTATCCAGAAGTCAGCTGCTAGCACTTTTTAAGTCACAGACTGGACCTGAACAGCTTCTACGTGTATTTTATTCCCAGTAGGAAACTGAATTGTTCACCCTGCACCCAGAAGTCTTCCAGGACTTCAGTTCCTTTTGAGCTAACCCCTTCAAATAGTAGAAGGATGACTCTTGAATTTTACCAAGTTGTTTTGTTGTTGTTGTTCTGTCACTACTGTGCTTCCTTTTCTGTTAATTATGAAAACACTAAACAAATGCAAAAAGCAGAGAATATGGTGAACCTCAGCATCCATGTTCAACCATGGTTAAGTCGGGGTGAACCTCTTTCTCCCTCATCCCGTGAATCCCTTCCTCAAGCACCCCAGACACCGATTATTTTTAAACAAAACCCAGATATGACTTCCTAAGTATTTAGGTACATACCTTCAAAAATAAAGATTCTCCTGGGTTAATTCTGAAACATTAAATACCAAGTCGTTCCAGGTGTTTTCTTACACAGGTTTGTTTTGAGCAGGTTGCAGTCATGGTCCACATACCGCATTGATTGACTCTTGTTAGGTGAAGGTTTCATTGGCCAGCATTATATTAGTTTCAGCTGCACAGCATAATGATTCAGTACTTTCAAGTACTGCAAAATGATCGCGGTGAGTCCAGTTAACATTGTCACTACTTACAGAATTTTTTGATGAGAACTTTTAAAATCTGCTTTAGCAACTTTCAAGTATGCAGTCCAGTGTTATCAACCATAGTAGCCCTATTGTACATGACATCCCAACTGGAAGTTTGTAGCTTTCGACTCACTTTATCCATTTCATCCACCCACCCACCCCCAAGCCTCCGTCAGCCACCCATCTGTTGCCTGCTATGTAAGTGGTGTGATGACATGTTTGGCTTTTGACTATTTCACTAGCATAATGCCCTCAAGGTCCATCCATGTTGTTGCAATGGTAAGATTTTTTAATGGCAGAACAGTATTCCCGTGTGTATGTGTGTGTGTGTACACAACAGAAACACTGATTGGAAAAGATACGCACACTGTGTTCATTGTAGCATCATTTACAGTAGCCAAGATATGGCAACAACTTATGGTAAATGTCCATTGATGGATAGATGGATAAACCAAAGGTTGAATATATTAGAATCTTCTACCCATCAGATAGAAAATATCCTTTTAATCAGGGTATTTTTGCTATGAACTGTATGAGTTCTTCACATATTGTGCAGTTTAACCCCTATCACAGGTGATTGTAATATAGTTTAAAATCAGGGAGCATGACTTCTGGCCAAGATGGAGGCATAGGTGGAAACACTGTGCCTCCTCCCACAACCAAGTTTGAAGACAACGAAGTTTTAGTAAGAAAACCACAACCAAAACAGAAAATTGAACTGTACGGAAGTCCGACAACAACGAACCATTCATCCAGACCGGTAAGAGGGGAGGAGTCAGCGGCTGGTGGAGTGGGGTTGCCCAGGAAAAAGTGGCTGGACCGACCCAGGAGCGCAGGCAGTGGTTGGCAGATCCCAGGGGCAGGGTGGCAACAGGCAGACCCAGTGAGGGCACAGGGTGGCTGGCTGACCAGGGTCACACATTCGTGCACAGATAAACCAGGCAAAGGAGTGAGCAGTGAGACAGGCCGCACAGGCTAGGGCCCCAGTGACAGGAATTAAAGCCTAAAAGCTTCAGTTGGAAGGACTTTCAGGGTCGAGGTGCTGGGAGAAGCTCCCAAGCTCACAGAGAGTTCATTGGAGAGCCCCACAAGGGTGCAGGGTACACAGTCCCACACACCCAGGAGCCGGCACCAGGGGGACCCAGCTTGCTTGTGGGAAGCAGCAGAGGGGACAGAAATCCCACAGAGAGCGGAACAAATGCCATTGCCCCCCTCTGACCCCACCCCCACATACAACGTCACAACTCAGCGACTGGGTCACCGAGCCGTGGTGAACACTTAAGGCTCCACCCCTTATACATAACAGGCGCGAACAGACCAAAACATTATAACGGAAGAAGAACAGCTCAAAACCCCAGAGCCAATACTTCTAAGCGACCGAGAAATAGCCAACCTATCAGATGCACAGTTCAAAACACTGGTGATCAGGATGCTCACAGAACTGGTTGATTTTAGTCATAAATTAGAGGAACAAATGAAAGCTAAACTAATTGAAATGAAGAGAAATGCACAGGAAACCAATAGTGACGGAAAGGAAACTGGGACTCAAATCAATGGAGTGGACCAGAAGGAAGAAACAACCAAACAGAAAAGAATGAAGAAAAAATTCAAAAACAGGAGAGGCTTAGGAACCTACAAGACATCTTTAAACATTCCAACATCCGAATTATAGGGGTACCAGAAAGGGAAGAGGAAGAGCAACAAGTGGAAAACTTATTTGAACAAATAATAAAGAACTTCCCCAATCTGGCAAAGGAAATAGACTTCCAGGAAATTCAGGAAGCTCAGAGAGTCCCTAAGAAGTTGGACCCAAGAAGGAACACACCAAGGCACATCATCGTTATATTAGCCAAAATTAAAATGAAGGAGAGAATCCTAGAAGCAGCAAGAGGTAAGGGGACAGTCACCTACAAAGGAGTCCCCATCAGACTGTCAGCTGATTTCTCAAAAGAGACCTTACAGGCAAGAAGGGGCTGGAAAGAAGTATTCCAAGTCATGAAATCCAAAGACCTACATCCAAGATTACTCTATTCAGCAAAGCTTTCATTTAGAATGGAAGGGCAGATAAGATAAGGTCAAGTTCAAGGAGTTCATCATCACCAAGCCCTTATTATATGAAATGTTAAACAGACTTATCTAAGAAAAAGACTAAAAATATGAACAGTGAACGGACAGCAAACTCAGTTATTAACAACCACACCTAAAACAAAAGCAAACTAAGAGGACAGCTAGATCAGGAGTGGAACCATAAAAATGGAGATCACATGGAGGGTTAGCAATGGGAGGGGGAGGAGAAGAAAGAGGGAGAGGGTACAGAGAATAAGTATCATAGATGGTGGGGAGAAAATAGACAGGAGGGAGGGCAAGAATAGTATGGGAAATATAGAATCTAAAGAATTTGTGACATGTGGACATGAACTAAAGGGGAGAATGGTGGGGGAGGGGTGTACAGGGTGGAGGGGAATGAAGGGGGGGAATGGGAAAACTGTAATGGCATAATCAATAAAATATATTTTTTAAAAAATCAGGGACCATGATGCCTCCAGCTCTGTTCTTTCTCAAGATTGCTTTGGCCATTCAGGGTCTTTTGTGGTTCCATAGAGATTATAGAATTGACTATTCCATTTTTGTGAAAAAATGCCATTGATGTTTTGATAGGATTGCACTGAACCTATAGATTGCTTTGGGTAGTATGGACATTAACAATTCCTCCAGTCCATGAACACAAAAGATCTATTTGTCTTCTTTAATTTTGTTCGTCAATGTCTTACATAGTTTCCAGTGCATAGGACTTTTACCCCCTATTATTTTTAGGTATTTTATTCTTCTTTTATACACTTTTAAAAACAAATGGGATTGCTTTTAATTTCTGATAGCTCAGAAATGCAAGATTTCTATGTACTGATTTTGTGTCCTGCAACTTTACTAAACTCATTTATTCTAAGTTTTTTTTAGTGAGGTCTTTGGGTCTTTCTCAATGTCATCTGCAAATAGTGAGTTTTACTTCCTTTCCAATTTAAATGCCTTTTCTTTTTCTTGCCTAATTGCTCTAAGTAGGACTGATTGATATTCTCCACTCTTAATCTTTGGGTTCCCCTCCCTTTCTTTTTTTCTTGCAATTTATTAATTAAAGAAACTAGGTTCTTTGTTCTGTGTTCTAGGTCCTGGATTTTGCTGATGTAATCCCTGAAGTGACACTTAACCGGTTCATCTGTCCCCTATTTCCATAAATTGGTTAATTAGGTCTAGTAGCATCAGGTCTAGTCTACATGAAGGGTGACTTTGCACCCCAGGAGACATTTGGTAATATCCGAAGACATTTTTTGGTTGTCAAAAGTGGAGAGGTGTTACTGACACCTAGTAGGTAGGGGCTAAGGATGCTGCTGGTAACCGTCCTAGAATAACCAGGAAAGTTTCCCACAAAGAAGTATCTGATCCAAAATGTCAACAGTGCAGCTTTGACAAACCCCCATCTACAAGGCTTATGTCATCAAGCTTGTTTGTTTTTTAAGGAAGAGATCCTTGATGGGTAGTAGTACATGTGTCCATCAGGAGACAGATTGTGTGTCTCCGGCCCCCGATTCCTCCCTCTGCTGTACCCCAGCCACAGGTTGCAGGGGTATGAAGGACACTCTGGCCAAGTGCAGCATTTTCATTTCTGCATAAAAGTGACAGCACCTTCTATACTGGTGAACCCAGTCACAGTCCCACATTTACTGAAGAGCCACAGTGTGGAGGATGCTGTGTTCAAACAATCGCACGGGGGAACATACAGAGCACTTAAGGACATGGACCAGTTTTGGGCACGTGGGAACTAGAACCCCTTTCCACTGGGTACCCTAATCCTGAACAAGCAGAAGGCAACTCCCTCTTTTATTACCACTGCTCTCCCATTATTTGATTTATGGGGACCAGAATTATAAATGCATACAGGGCATCAAAAATATTAAGTGAAAATTATCTAAAGAGTCTCTAGAGCTACAAGCTAAGCACTTCATCCTCTGAACAGGTAACAAACCACGGTTCTGTGTCAGAGATTAGCAGTGAGTGCGGTCAACAGGGAAAGAGTGATGCCCAGCAGTAGGGAAGCAAAACTGTGGAAACCTGACGTTTTGGGAAAACCAGGTTTTCAAGTAATGACTCTATAGGAGTTAATAAATGACAACAAAGAAGAGACAGTAACAGTTTAACTTTATTCACATGTTGATGCCATTAAAGGTTACTTCATAAAAACACGTTTGCTATTCCAACATCCTTTGCCTCTCAGCATCGGCTGACAAATCCTCACCACATAGCAGAAATATTAGAAGTTATACTGCAAATGGAACACATTAAGCATTTTTAAATCTTTAAAATATGGCTTATGAACAATTTTACACAGAAGTTACCTATTAATATGTTACATATTAACAGATCTACAATACCACATGGACAATCTGATTTCCTTGATATTAAAAATGAAGTTGGCATTTTTGTCAAGAAGGCATCTTATACCTACTAAGGTAGTTCTATGGTGTGGAATTTTACATTATAAAGTAGACCTTAAGTATATTATTTTTAAACCAAACTGGAAACTAGAACCAGCTCTGGGAAAATGCTCAGTTTTACTGTGCGCATCACGCGAACTCTTTGCTAGTGAGTGTCTACACAGACGCACTGAACTAAAGGAAAACATTCTTGTTCTGGACATACCCTAGCTTACTCCTGTGTAGTAACGTTTCACAGAAAACTGGACAGGAACATGTTACGTGCTGGCAGCACCGAGAGCACCCGAGCTGATGACACATCCTAGTGTCTACAGAATGCACTTCTGCACTCACTCGGCTCAAGTGCCGTCAGGACAGAGTCTGTTTTACTCATCAGTGTACATCTGGCAATCGATACAGTGCATGGCACAGAATGGATACTTAATAAATATTTCAATGATTGAGTAAAAGTTTTTAATAGCAAATGAAGAAACACAACTTTAAATAAATGGCAAGACTACCAAAGGTCTCGTGATGGGGCAATAGGTGCCTTTTGTGAAAATCCTAGGATTTAAGTAGATCGAGAATTAGACAAGAATGATGTCTTCTAAAAATAAACTCACTCTCGTGGGCAGCCAGAGAAAAGCCATAACATTTATCTTCTAAAGCTAATGTGTGAAATTGGAATATGGGCTAGTTGAAGATGACCATGATATTAAAAGTAGACGAAAATACTTCCTAAAGGTCTGACCAAACTCCTAGTGGAATATGTCTCATCAGTCCATCCCCTGTCTTTGGATCCATGTTAGATTTCTGAGTAAAAACCATCTGTCACTAAACAGCTACTGGACAATAATACATTTGTGAAAGCATCCCGGTTCTGTCCAGCTGTATGTACTTCAATGAACTCAGCACTGTCAAAATTAACCTGCAAGTCAAATAAAACCATAAATTTCAGAAATGATTGAACTTCTTAAATCAATAGTCATACCAGTATCAGTGTGTTCTGAAATTAGAAAATTCATAGCACGTATAAAAACACATTTACCTACTTCAATTAGGTCAATGTCAGGATTTATCAAAATTCTCCATCAAATTTTTTTAAATCTTGATTTTTAGGTGCTATAAAAAATATACACTAGTCAAATAAGCTGTGTTTGTTCTGACCAATTCCACAAAGTTAGGAGGAAAGGGAAGGAAAGGTTGTGTAGTTAAATTACAAATCCTAAACATTTAATCCTTTATTTGAACTTATCTCTCTAAATCTACAAAGATATCAGCACTCTTGGATACCATAACAAGTAATACAGAAATTTCACTGGTATCGATCCTAAACGTGTAGTCCATCCATTTTCTTGCCCAGTGAATGTCTCTCCCATCAGAATCCAAGAGAAGAATACAAATCTCAGTTTCGTAGTCGCCTTTGGGCCCAGGGCCAACCAGTCCCGACAGTAACCACAAAGGCAGCTTTATGACCGGTCGTCTGTTTCTGCAGTTAAAGTCTTTTTCTGATAATCAAATATCCTTCACTGTTCTAGAAGCACAGTTCGAAGCTCATCTTCTTTATTGATCATCATCGAAGCAATTGCTCCATCATTAAACTCAAAAGAAGTTCCTCCATCCACAACCATACAGGCATCCCAACAGCGAGAACGAACACAAACCCTGAGCAGAAAAAACAGCTCATAAAATGCAATTTTTTAACCTGAAATAACAATTTCTTTAAAACCCCTAGTTTCTACCTAAAGTGTCAGATGTGGAAGGGAAAAGAGGTGAATCCTACTTTTTAAAAGGTTTTCTGCTACCCAATTTAGGTTTTACAGAAATGTTTATCCTTTTATTCCACAGGCATGTGAAAGAAGGTGCTTTCTAGTCAGTTTCTTTTAAAATGGCAACTCCACCTTATTGTAGTCTAAATGCATTACAAAAACTCCACATCACCCTATTAAGGAACTGTGCCCCTTCTACTTATTTAAATTTTAGCTTCTCTAAAATGGCACCTGAGGGTTGAAAGAAAACATCCTTAGCCAGGTCAGCATGACACCTCAGTAGTCCCACAGGTTCCACCTCTCCCACCAGACTTAATGTCAGTGAAACGGAATCCGTTTAAAACCAAGTGTGCTTTGCAGTCACGAGGGATGCAGACAGTCCCTGTCAGGCCTGGGAAGCTTACTTTGAGGTGAAACAACGCTGCCGGCTGCTGGAGAAAACTCTGTTTGCTATTGGTTCTCGAATACTGAAAAGTATTTTTGGTTCTTCTGGACTATAGAGCAATGATTCATTATATTCATTTGTTACTGTGAGGAAAGGAAAACAAATATTAGCACATTTAATAACAGCCCTTGAAAAGTGAAAAGTGGATGCTGTCCCCAACTCAACGGCAGTCTGTTCCAAAGGTCCGTTTGGCATCAAGTACCTTGGCACTCATTTCCATTTAAACAACAAAAAAACGTATAAATCAGGATTGGGTCCTGAGATTAATCCACAGAAGCCTACATCACTCAGAATATAGAAGGAATAGGTGTATTTTGGAAAAAAAAGAAAAACTTCTAAGCTAATAATTAAACAAAAACAGAGGAATTAGTTTATGGCACTCGGGAATGGAATCTGAGTTGCCACAGCCTCCTGCCAAGTGCTTTTCCAAAAAGCCACGTGGAAGAGTTCGTGGTATAACTGTAACTTAGCAGTCTTGTGTAACAGGTGATCTCAAGCAGTGACAGGCAACGCGCTTTCCCTATGAAAAGGCCGTGATTCGAGGCAGTTTTCGCAATCACTGGCACCTGCTGTCTCCAACCCAGAGTCACATGAGACTTGGCAGGCCAGGCACACACTGGTTCAAGGGTCATTAACATGAAAGTCCAGTTGTCAAGTTTTTATTGCTTAAATATATTTAAAGTGATATTAAAAGCATGTTTGAGTCAAAAAAAATACTTTGCTTTGCTCATCAGACAAGAACATGTCACAATAACATCCTAAAATCCATACAGAACTTAAATGAAACCATTAGCAATTCTGATCGTTGGCCACTGACCTTTCTCTACCAGTTCTCTGTTCAGTGGAAGACTTAAATTGCCTTGTCGTTTTGCTATTGAAAAAAGGGGGGAAATATCTTGATTAAAATGTTTCATATCATACAGTAGCTGGTATCACAAAACATATACACTATATAGTATTTTATAATTATAATTGTAATAGCTATTTTGGTACTCACCAATATTTAAAACATCTTCCACAGCCTGAGTTGCAACCCTGTTAATATTGAATGACCTAGAAACAAACACCACATAAATTCTTTCTTGTTTTAATCCTAAAAAATTACTAAAAATGAAAAAGAAATAATCTAATTATTACACAAAGAACTCAGAAACTAACAAGAAAAACAACCAAAGACAATAGCCACCTCACCCAGTTTTAAAAAGTAGGCCAAGTATGTGGACAGTTCACAGGCCTCGATGAAAAAAGGTTCAGTCTTACACTTTAAAGCAATACAAACTACAATGAGCTTTTTCTCAGATGTGCAAGGATTATAAACGGATAAATAGTTTATGCTGACACAGGTGTGGGAAAAGAAGTGTTCTCATACATTGATGGGATTATAAAGTTGCAACGAGTAATTCTGAATTCTGCACTATTAAGATTTAAAGTGTACATATTCAGAAAACAGGGTTTCTGGACTCAGAAATCCTGTTTTCTGAGCGTGTCCACATGATTCGCCTCCTCACACAACCACATGAAAATTACAACTAAGCTATAAAACAACCGTTACTCAGAACCATCAGAAATCAAGTTGAATAGAAGTCTAACAACTATAAAAGAAACCACATCCATGCAGACTGGTAGAAGGGGCAGAGGCACAGAACAGGCGGGTCCCACCTCCATGTGTGGTGGATAAGAATTCAGGAGGGATGACTCGGGAGTGAGGAGTCCCAGACCCACACCGGGCCCCCCAGCCCAGGGTTCCAGTGCCAGGAACGTAAGTCCCCATAACTTCTGCCTGCAAAAACCAGCAAGGACTGAGGAGGTGGGAGAAACTTGTGGAGTCCCAAGCAGGGCACCCCGTAAAAAGCCCACACGCAGACTCACTCAGAGGCCCTCCTCCTGAGGTCCAGCACCAGGGCGGCACTCAGTGGCACATGGGGAGCAACTCCAGCTCCTGCCTGGCAGCAGGGCAGGAGCTGGAGGACAGCTTTCCCCCAAACAGAAACACAGGCAGAGGCCACTGTCCCTTTTCGGAGCCCTCTCCCCACAGAGCCGGCGAGCAGTTGCTATATGAGACCCATCACCACAGCTAACACTGTCTGCCCCACCCTAAAGATCCCAAGACTCCAACTCACCCAAATTTACAGGCCCACCCAAGCTGTTGACAGTCATTTTTCCATATAAATGGACGGTCTTGGGTCATGCTCCACAACTCCCCCAATCCTCTCAAACAAGCAACAGCCAGCCTCGGTGAGCCCTCAGCCCCTATACCCCTTGTTAAGTGGCCCCAGGGCAGGCACTAGGAACAACAAGCCTAGATTCACAGCTTGGCTTCCCATGGGAATCTCCAAGCCTACACGTAGCAGCCTTACAGCTCAGGCAGGGTGGCTGTGGGCAGAACAGAGGCGGAGGCTGAACTTGGCCTGCACCACCTAGGAAATCCCAAAGCCTGTGCACCCAGTGGACAGCTACAAACCACACCAGAGCACCACCACCCTACCCCTGCACAGCTTGACTTTTACAGAGGGCAGAGCTTGGTGGTCAGTGGTCACAGCAGGTCCTTGCGGCTGACAGGCCTGGGTAAATCCCTCCCACTGACCTGCCATGGCAACCAAGGCTCAACTACAAGAAGAGCGTGTACTCAGCCCACACAAAGGATGCACCTCGAGTACCCAGCTTGGGTGATAGGGGAGGCTGTGCCACTGGACCTTACAGGACACCTACTACATTAGGCCACACTACCAAGACATGGAGTCAAAGCAGCTCTATCTAATCCATAGAAACAAACAGAGAGGCTGCCAAAACAAGGAGACAAAGAAACATAGCCCAAATGATAGAACAGAGAACAGATCAAAACTCTAGAAAAAGAGCTAAATGAAATGGAGATAAGCAATCTATCCGATGCAGAATTCAAAACCTAGTTATAAGGATGCTCAAGGAACTTATTGAGCACCTCAATAGCATAAAAAAGATCTAGGCAGAAACAAAGGATACATTAATTAAAATAAAGTACCATTTACAGGGAAACAACAGTACATTGAATAAGGCTGAGAATCGAATCAATGATTTGAAACATAAGGAAGCAAAAATCAACCAATCAGAACAAGAAGAAAAAAGAATCCAAAGAAATAAAGACAGTGTAAGCAGCCTGTGGGACAACTTTAAGGATTCCAACATTCACATCATAGGGGTACCAAAAGAAGAAGAGAAAAGAGCAAGAAATTGGAAATCTATTTGAAAAAATAATGAAAGAGAACTTCCCTAATTTGGTGAAGAAAACAGACATGCAAATCCAAGGAGCACAGGGAGCCTCAAACCAGATGGATGCAAAGAGGCCCACTCCAAAACACATTATAATAAAACTGCCAAAAGTTTAAGACAGAGAATCTTAAAAGCAGCAAGTTACTTACAGTAGAATTCCCATAAGGCTGTCAGCTGATTTCTCAAAAGAAACTTTGCAAGCTAGAAGGGATTGGCAAGAAATATTCAAAGTCATGAAAAGCAGGGACCTGCAGCCAAGACTGCTCTATCAGCAAAGCTATCATTTAGAGCTGAAGGGCAGATAAAGAGCTTCCTACGTAAGAAAAAACTACTAAAGGAGTTCATTACCACCAAACCATTATTATATGAAATTTTAAAGGGACTTATTTAAGAAAAAGGAGATCAAAATTATAAACAATAAAATGGCAATAAATCCTTATATATCATCAACTGAATATGAAAAACTAAGCAAACAAAAAGAACAGAGACAGAATCATGGATACAAAGAGCATTGAGATGGGAGGGGTATGGAGGAATGGCTGACAAGGTAAGGGGAGAAAGAAGTACAAATAGGTAGTTACATAACAGCAATGGGGATGTGAGGTACAGTATAGGAAATGGAGTAGCCAAAGACTTACAAGCATGACCCATGGACATGAACAATGGTGTGGGGACTGCCTAAGGAGTGGGGAGGAATGGGCAGAGGTGGAGTAAAGGGAGGAAAGTCAGGACAACTGTAAGAGCATAATCAATAAAATATCATTTCAAAAATGAACATATTCTTCAATCTAGTAATTTATCCTAAAATATACTTGCATATATAATACACAAAGACATATATAAGGATATTTACTGAAGTATTGTTTATAATAGCAAAACTCAAATATATGTAGCAACGGGAAGCTGGTTGAATAAATTATGGCAACTCAGCAGAGTACTACATATTTATTAAAGAAAATAAAATAGAACTAACTGCATGTGCTGATATACAGAGACAACCAAGATCTTAGGTTAAAAAACCAAAGGTATTATATGGTGTATATGTTACTTCCTTGTTTTATTTATACGAAAAAACAACAATTATACATATATATAGTGATTGTGTCTGGAAATTAGTACCAGAGATATGAGATTAAAGAGAGACTAGCTTTTCACTGTATAACCTTTTGTACTATTTAACATATTTTAACAAGTGTATTTCTTTAAATCATAAAATAGCTTTCTTAAAGGTGACAAATACTTTACCAGTATAATGCCTTACTTAACCACCTAAAAAATATGTTAACACAAACATGAATAACTTTTAAAAGCTGCTCCATCCCAGGGTCTATGAAGATGCTTAAGGAAAAGTGGGTTTTTTTCATCTTCTTGGAAACAGAACTATTTATTCTGCCTCACACCCCTCTCACGTGGCATCAGCAGACAGTGCTAATGAAAAGGAGCAACCTGCTGAGTCCCACAGCTCTACCCTCATTCAGTGACTTTTGCCTTTTTCTAAGGGGGGGTGGGGTGAGTAATAAATACTCCATATATCTTTACAACCCTACATTATTCACATTCAGAGAAATGTGAAAATACTGTGAACGTTCTCTTCAGAAAAAATGCAGATTTTTTACATTAAGAATTTGGAGTTACTCACAAATCAAATCTCTCCGCTACAAAAATCTGAAATCTGGCCCTTCTTACTCTGTCGTTCACCATTCTGCCCCCTAATTTCACATTCTGATTACACCAAGCTCATTCTGGCCTGCGCACTTTGCTCTTACTATTTGGTAAGAAAGCCAAATAGTTTAAGTGTCCTGAGTTTCTTATTGTTTAGTATAAAGTTTTCGATGTCACACACTATGAGACAAAAAGCATTAGGTCGCTACCTGGCTCATGGCAAGAATGCAACACAAAATGACAATGTCAAACGCGAGGGAAATGTGTAAGTCATGTTCTAATTCCTGTGAATACCTACCTTATTGGAAGATACTGTTTTAAAATTCTATTTTAAAAGTCACATAAGTATGAAGTATGTTCACTACAATTAAAATATATAAAGGGCCAAAGATTTTAGGAATGATTAATGTGGTCAGGATTTAACTGAAGAAAACACAAAGGGCTGAGGAGACTTGCTGTAATATTCCTACATTTCTTTTATTAGGAATATCACATCCCTATTATTAGGGATACCACAAACCAACCCAAACCAAGTCCTCTGAATTGTAATTAAATTAAGACTAATGTCCTGTGGTCGGAACTTGGGTCTCAGCCACTTCACATCAAGGACGGACTGTATGACTAAGGGGGTGTGACAGCTGGCACAGGACTTTTTTCCCATAACCTTCACCATTCTAGGAGTTCCCATGTGAAATCAGATGTACCTTGTGCTAAAGACAACCAAACTGAAAGACAAACTGAGTCCACACCTTCACCAGCTAGTAAAACCTTGTTCACTTAAGAACACCTCCTCACCCTTCTTTAAGTCTGCCAGGATAGAATGCATGGAGGAGGTCGCGGGTGGGGGCTGGGATGGGAGCAAAGGGCAGAAAACTGTACTTGAACAACAATTAAAATTGAAAAGAAAAAGGATGTATGGAGGAGGAGGACTGGGGACAGTCTTGAGAACAGAAATGGAAACGGACACATCTATGACCTCCCGGTACATGTAGCAAGTCATGGTCCACAATGGCAGGGGACTGAGGTGATGCCACGGTGGTTCAGAGACAGCTGCTCTCCAGCACAACCCCTAACCCTGCGTCCTGTGGAGGAAGTTTTGGAAACGCACAATGGGAGACACGAACGGCACTCCTCAGCCTGCTCCCACAGCTCCCGCCGTGACCTGCCTGCCTCCCCGCCTCCTGTGACTTGACGTGAATGAGCACAGCAACCTCAGGAGCTACGCTTAAAAGACGGCAGAGCTGCAGGATGGAAGGAGTCTGGCTCCCCAACTCACTACTTGGAGGACAGCCACCTGCCCCTTAGGAACGCCCACTCAGACTTTACAAAAGCAAGTAATAAACTTCTGCTGTGTTAAGCCACTGAGAGTGGGGGGGGTCACAACTAGCTTACCCTAAGTTATTATACATTTCCACATTTCATATTCAAAGCAAGGGCTGAGAAGGTCACATAGCAAAATGAACTTTTACCTACCTGCATCAAGAATGAACAGAAGAACAGTAAAGGAAACAGGCTATCCTATTCTTTTTTCCCAGTGATTTCTCAGGGGTATGCAGTTTAGTTAGAGCTAGAATTTAAATTCTGCCTTCACCACTTATTAGCCACATGACTTTGGGCAGTCAGTTAACTTCTGAGACTCTTTACTGATCTAGTCTCCTAGTTGCAGAGTATTTGAGAATTTAAATAATATACTTAGCTCAGGACAAAGAAAATGCTCAGAAATGGTGGAGTGAGGAAATAAAATTATTAACATATAGAAATGTACAGCTTTCCCTTAGCCCTTAGGATTCTTTTCTCTCCCTCCATTTTCTGAAGAGAAAAAGGACCAAAGATGAATGCAAAGTGCAATCAGAAGTGGGAGGGCGAGGGTGGAACATGGTGGAAGTAATCAGCTAGATGTGCAGGGCTGAGTAAGTGAAGACACTGAGTAACCAAGGTGGCAGGGACAGAGTACAGTTAGTGACAGAAAGTTCTATACCAGGGCACAGGAAACAACAGGAGACTTTAGTAAGCAACACGGAAAAGACCAAAATTCTAATCTAAGCCACACTTCTCCAAAGGCACCATCAACAGAGAACTCAACTATCAGGTGTACAGTAGTGGGGCTTTGTAGGGGGCGGGGGGACACTTTACAACTTAATGGCTCTTATTCTTCATGCTCATCTCACTGCTGACAGGCTGAAAATGAAAACTATCAAAATCATACACAGACACAAAGCAGAAGTCAAAGCCCCCAGCCTTTTGTGTACATGAGCATATTTCTCCGAGACTGGTTGAGTTCACCTTGACAGTTCTTCAGTACAACCTGTGACTCATCTTTCAACTGTGTGACCTCCGTTTAAAGCTGGCAATGAAAAGGCATTGGTTGTATAGTCAAGCACACCTATGCCTGTGTCCAGATTAGGACACTTGTGTGATTTCAGCCTAATTATTTGTCCTTAGCCTCAATTTCTTCCTCTACAAAACAGGGATACTGCCACTTTCTTGCAGAATTTCTGTAAGGATTACAGTCCATGTATAAAAAGTACCTAGCACAGTATACTCAAAGTAGCAGGAGGTAAATAACTGATAGTTTGCATTATTATTACAAAATATAACAGACCCACAGAAGCTCAGAGGCTCAAGTAATCTTACCTACCCCTCTGTTTCCCTTGTCCCACAGAAAAGAAAACTTGTACGAGGTGACAAAGCCAGTCAGCGTTTAGCCAGGCCTCTTAACCCCGAGGCCAGTTCTTTTCAATGATGCCACTCTGCCCATTTTCAAAGGATGAGAATACCAGGAGACGAAGAGGGGAAGGGTGTGGAAAACCGTTTCTAATTCTCAGTCTAGCTTCCAACAAGTAACACCTCATGCTGAGCAGAAAGAACAATGTTGTGATAAATTAAAGCTGCTAATTTTAATGTTTTCAATTTATAAGATGGTTATAAAAAACCTTTTATAGTATATATGATTAAATTTATCATTTCAAATAATTATTAGAAAACTCATGTTAGAAATGTAGTTCTCCTCACTGGCCCTCAGAAAAATAAGATATTAACCAATCTTTTTAAAGGACACTTCTCATTTTTTTCCCAAAGATTCACTTAGTTGGCTAAGGCTAGGACTGTTTCTCAAAGATGTTAAGTTACTAAATACTTACGAATGAAGCGGTATGTCTGAAAACTACTTCAAAAGCATATGGATGAAAAGAACTATAGGGAACACAGAATACAAGACTGGACGTGCACTGGTAACTACCGAATCTGGCTAATGAGTATGCAGGCCTCTTGTATATATTTAAAAATGTGCACAATAAAAAGTTTTAAAAAGCAATGCTAAAAATGGGAAATAAAATCCCATTTCAAACTTAAGATCACAATTTGATAAGTACTATTTGTGAATACGTAGTCATTTATTCAAAAAAAATATCTGCATGAATATGGCATTACACTATGCACACAAAAAACTAAGCAGGAAAAAAAGACAACCACTAGTCACTATCCTAAATGCCTCAAGTTGCTCAAACTTGGACATTAGCTTATTAGATACCTAGTAATACTATACATGCCATGGGAAAAGCGCCGGAATTAATTATGCTTATGAAAGGAACCGGGTCTTATTAAAGTTCTCTTACAGAGAATGACATCTGAAGACTGGACTCTTCAGCCAGTGGACAGAAAGTGGAGTGTGTCCAAGTACTCAATGCAGAAAGAAGATGCATTGAGCAAAAACAAAAAGCCCAGAGAGAACATGACTTGTGCTGAGAATTGCAAGTAGCCTGCAGTGTGCCCGGAGTGCTGACTGGTGGGCTGGGACGGAGCGGGAACAGGCTGGAAAGTACCTCAGGTCCTAGTCAAAGGACCTAAGTCATCTGAACAGAGTTAGGAGCCAGTGAAAGTCTTAAAGCACAGAAGGGTGGAATCATATTTTATCTACCTTGTAGAAATATTAGTCTGTTCTGGTATGGATGACAGACCACAGAACAAAAAATATTCACTAAAAAGACAGGGGCCTGGGCCAAAGAAAAAGCAGGAGGAATTGAAAGAGGGGGCAAGGACTACAGAAATGCCACTCACTGGATTTAGAGCCTGGTGCTTGGAGAGGGGAGAACAGGGAGACTCTAAATGTACCAGCAAGGTTTGAAAGAAAAACGTTTTTTCTCTAGAGCATGAACTCGACATAAACAGTGAAACTATTAAGCAATTCAAGGAACACAGGCAGAAAAGCCGAAGACAATACATTCAGTTTTTTAAAAAGATGTTATTTATTTATTTTTAGGAAGAGGGAGGGAGGGAGGGAGGGAGGGAGGGAGGGAGGGAGGGAGGGAGGGAGGGAGGGAGGGAGGGAATCATAAATGTGTGGTTGCCTCTCGCACGCCCCCTACTAGGGACCTGGTCTGCAACCCAGGCATGTGCCCCTACACTGGGAATCAAACCAGCAGCCCTTTGGTTTGCAGGCCGGCACTCAATCCACTGAGCCACACCAGCCAGGGCATACATTTTTAAATGCACTAAATTTGAAAAGCTATGACTATTTTATCTACTAGGTAATTTGAGAATATGTTTTGAATCCAGGAGAGAAGACTGCTACAGACAGAAAGAAGCCTGGGAGGCATCCCCACATATGCTAGGAAGCGATACCCAAAAAGAGGTTACAGGGTGAACTCTGGTTAGACCTTTAACAACGGACAAACCTGTAGCAGGTGGTTCTGTATTGTACATTGTTTTCATTTATTATTATTTAAAATACCCTTCATTTTGAAAATATGTAGTACCAAAAAACATTGCTCATTTTCTTTTTTCTGTTTACAAATAGAGTGAGGTAGGCTAAATCATGACCAAACGAGGACAACAGCTAGGCTGCAGCTTCAGTCTAAGACGTCAAGGCAAGGCTTCCGGACCCAACGCATGAGTACAGCAGAAACTCAGCCAACCACCACACCCCGGGTCCCTCCAGTGCACCAGAGGCCTTACACAGGCCGGTATTCAGTAACGAGGAAGTAACGTTTCTTAAAATGTTTCACAGAGGTTGATAAGCAACACCCCAAGTTACTCACCAGGCCTTTGATCCTGTTCCAGTACACAAATTGAGCCCTGAACTCTTCTGTTTTTCCCATGGACCATCATCAACTGAAATCTCATAGTAGGAAGCCCTATGAATTGAGAATAGAAAACTGGATTTGCTGAACGTAAGACTCACAGTAAACGAGACAAACACAGTCATTTTCAGAACTGATGAAATCTAAGTAGGCCAGCCTGACTTAGACATACCTTAGTAGGCACACATATCATGATGCTAATTCTAATATTAAGTGGAAAAGTTACCAAAAATTCTGCATGTCTGCATCCCTCTCTCATCTATATGTTCCTTTCTATCAATACTTTAACATTTCAAACAGGGGCTTCTTCTAAATTTTTACCTAGCATTGCCGCGGCTGCATTTAAGGCCTCTTAACATATACAGAGCCTTATTACAGAATTCAAAAAGAAAACACCATTCTTCAATGAGTTTCTCAGTAGCCAGTCCTTGATATATTTAAGTCTACATATGATCCTTTAAGTTACGAAGAGTTTCTGCTAAATTTTCAATGAGTTACATACCATTGTGTCTTTTGAAGTGGTAGTAAGCTAACAAGTTCTGAAGAAAAATCTCAACCAGTACTGAACTAGTGGGCAAAACTACAGATAAAACTAAAACTGTAATTTCCTTAAGGATTTATATTTCTTAGAGTATTTCATAAAATGAAATCAAATGGGTTTTCTAACACCAACAAAAATGATACTACTCTTTCAATGCATGAAAGAATAGATGATTTATAACTATTCAAAGAACTTTTAAAACATGTAAGAGACAATTTTGTAAGTAAGTTTTATCTTAAAATAATGGTGTCGCTAATCAATACTGGGTTATTTTTCTCTAGCAAATAAAAAGGGTAAAATAAACCCTTAATAAAATACAGCTTTTCAAAACAATGAATTGAGACATACTTGCAAACACTAACACTTAATGGACAATTTAACTCTTATTCTAACCCTTTCAATTTCTTCTCCAAGCTCTGACTCTGTGAAGGTTTTACACGATACAACTCCTTTTCATTTTTCCTCTGAACTCAGCATTCTACATAAAAGCAAAAAAATAGCAGGCTTAATATTCACACTGTATCTATTTCATAGCTTTATTATATCTTCTTAGAAAATTAGGACTTTTAGTCACATTAGGAGCCTGTTAAATGAGTGGAATGGCTGCTACTGTGCCAGAATCACAAAAACACAGAGATTAGCAGTTAGTGGTGATAGAGCAGCAGAGGTGGAGAGGAGAAGTGACCGTCAGGTGAGAGATGCTGAGCCCGAAACAGTGAGCAAATTTAGTGTCATTGTCTCATGCAGGTTAATCAAGATTAGTCAGCTCAGAATTTTTGTTTCAGGGGAATTATTTTTTAAGGCAGCAATAAAACTCACAGTCCCTTTAGAGTGGGTATACTTCTTCTTAAACTGTCCACTGCCACAGCCCAAGAATAAGACATTCTAGGTTAGAACAAATAGGAGAAAGGGGGAAAAAATTGGGCTTTTAAAATGTTCTTAAATCTAAGAACATTATAAATGAGGCAGGAATGATATTGCTGCATTTTCTATTTCCCAAGCAAAGCACCTAAGTTTTCAGGGTCTAGTGAAACCTAACACAGGACCTGGAACCAGGAATACTAGCTTCATCTGACAGTTCTGGTGCTAATTCTATGACCTTGGCCAAGTTATCTGAACTCTCCAGATCTCACCCTCGACTTTTTCGCCGGCAGATACAACTACCCTTCTCTGGGCTGCTTTGAGCACGGCCGTGACCACGCACTCCGCACAGAGCCCGGCGCGGAGCAGGCATCTAGCACTGCTCCCCATGTCCTTTCTGCCTACGGGTCTGTGTCGCAGGATCTTTTTAAGTAAAAGTTCTGGCATCTTCAACAGTGAAACCTCTTCCCATAGCACCAAAGACCACCCACCCACTGCTGTCCTTCCTTAGTGAAGATGTGAGGTGAGGCATCCAAGGACACAAGAAGCAGCAGCATCAGGTATCACTCAGGAGATGGACCGAATATCCATGCCACAGAGAATAAAAGCATTCAATCTAAAAACTCCTACTGGGACTTCACTGAATGCCCGAAGTGTATCAATTTATCCCAGTTTTCCTCCTTTTATACGTTATTTAATTTTTTGGTAAGTACACATTATAAAGCAATGGTAGCAGAAGCTCTCAGAAGTTACAACCTTTAAAATATACAAACAAAATAATATAAGCCATCGAATGGCTCTCCTAGAGTAAAAGCACAAACTCATAACACATTTCTACCTTTGTCACCTATTTATTTAGATGACAATACCTATTTGTTTTAATAGACTTTCTCCAATCTCATTTAAAGTTGTTACTCTCTTCTGTCTTATGTCTTTAGCAATAAAATCTAGATTATATTACTAGTTACATTTTCTTCCTTCTCTCTTCTATCACATAAATGTATCCATTATTCATTTCTATACTGCTTCAGACTTGAGATACAGCAAAAGAAAAAACTTTATTACAACATGTCTTACTAATATATTTATACTTTATTAAGTTCTTTAAAGAATATATTTATTTCTTTGAAGAATAATTTTATTTTTAATAATTTTTTAAGTTATACATATTAGCACTACCCTCCAAAAAATAAAAGATGAATGTCCACAACATTCATCTTATTCATCTTTTTATTCCTAGTGGCTCCCATATTACACACGGCAGTGCATAATATATTTTTATTGAATAAGTTTAAAATTACATTAATCAAAATAATCACAATCATTCAAAAAAAAAAGTTCAAGTCATCCCGTTGAACCAGGCTTTTTTCTTTTCAGTACTACCTAAGTCAAGTCATTGGCTAAAATATGGACATCTTCTGAAATGAAGACCGATGTTTCTCACCATCATTAAACTTTTTATGAAAAGGTATGACTTAAACAGAATTTTAGAGTGTGTGGAACTGTCCCCAGTAAGCTAGGAAATCAACTACAAGGCCTTCAGGTCGCTGGGAGCAGGAACTGGGACCGACTCGCCTCCGATCTCCAACCTGCAATGCACCTACGCTCACAAAAAAGGAGCGGGCGAGTCGCAAAGCACCACTGGCGGTTACCTTTACATTATAGCCGCTGCTGGGTAACTGGTACCAGACACAAAAAAAGCTTTGCAAAAAAAGTTCTGCTGGCAATTGAACCCTAAGTTATAGTCAATTCCCACAAAACAGATTTCATCCATAATAAAACACATGCTATAAATTTATATATTTTTTAAATTTTAATTTTAATTGTTCAAATAATTTTCTGCCTTTTACCCCCATACCAGCCCTCCCCACCTCCCTCCCATTTCCACCCCCCCTGTTATTGTCCATGTGTCCTTTGTATATTTATATTCTTAATGAAAAACTTTATTAACCTTAATGTTTTACTACTGGTTGCAAATCTTAAACTGTCAATACACTTGCCTTATTATGTCACACTAAGAAGGACGCACTCATCACTTAGGTGTGTTATTGTCAAAAAGTTTAGTCTGAATCTGATCATGCAGAGAAAAAGGATCACACAAATCTAAAATAAGGGATGCATTTTTCAGCAAATGGGCTTAGGCCCTTGAAAACAGTATTATCACAAATGACAAAACGAGGCAGCAGCTAAGGACCTTTCTGAATTCTAAAGGGCCATAACGGCCAAGTACAATGCATGATCCCTAACTGGATCCTGGATCAAAACGAGCAAAGAAATCAGCTTTAAAGGACCATCAAGTCAATCGGGCAAGTTCTAATGTGAATGTGAGAGCTGTGTGACAACTACAAGTGTACGCACCACGTGACATAGAGCATATCACTCCCTTTGACAGGGATGCGATCAACGGAAATGCACCTGAGCGACAGGTTACAAGTCCTGGGGACCACGGCAGTGAAGACACCTGGACAGCTCCGTTTAGCCTGGGTTCTCACACACTCTTGGGGTCACAGAACTTTCTTTCCTCTTAACATGAACTAACATAAATGAAGGTATCAGAAACATTTCATTAAAAATTTCACTTCTATTAGTTCTACAGTGTTAATTATTTGCAAATCTTAGGTTGTAGAAATTCAGTAAGTATCTAAAAAACACTAGGACATTCAACTCCAAACTGAGGATCACAGGCTTAAGTACCTGGATGACAGACTCTCCCCGATGAAGACTTCATTTAGTGCTCTCACTGGCAAAAGCTGGGGACCTGAAACCTCGGGCCCTGTGGGTAATAAAGGAAATAAACCAAGACAGCTTTTAAATTTTAGCAGTGTTATGAGATATATTTGCAAAACATTAAAATATTCATATTTTTGTTGTGAGAATCTAAACTTTAACATCACTAACCTAAGTAGTTTTTAAAGAATTCATAATATAAACCTCAAATATATTCATATTCTTATATAATTCATAACATAAACTTAACATTATAGCTGCCATGAAGCCGCTGACTCTCCAAAATGATCCTTAATTCTTCTTGAAACAATTTTTCAAGAGTGATAAAATATTTATCCATCTCATAAGATTCTTGTTGTCACCCTTAACTTGGGTTTACTGTAGAAGCTTCAGAGACAGAAATGGTCAAGTGCCTCCAAGGCGAGCCATTTCGGATTTCAGCAGCAAACTGCCTGCACGGCTGATGTGGGAAACCAGACCAGCTATGTTGAAGGTCAGATCTGTTTTCTTAGGGAGAAAACCTTAAGAGCGATCAGCAGCAGCAGCAGCAGCAGCAGCGGCAGCGCTGGAGGAACTCGGCCACATCTCCTTTCGTGACTCTTAAAAGGCCCCCTTTTCTTTCACTCTATAAGCTGGGATGTACAGGTTAATGAATCTTCCTTGGCCATTACTTAAACATCATTCTGGCCCATGCTGGTGTGGCTCAGTGGATTGAGCGCCAGCCTGCAAACCAAAGGGTTGCCAGTTCGATTCCCAATCAGGGCACATGCCTGGGTTGCAGGCCAGGTCCCCAGTGGGGCCACTGGAGAGGCAACCACCCACTGATGTTTCCCTGCCTCTCTTTCTCCTTCTCTTCCCCTCTCTAAAAATAAATAAATAAGTCTTTTTAAAAAATCATTCTGTGCCACAAAATCCTCCAAAGGATTCTCACTGCTTTCTGGATCAAACTTGTGATTGTCACCGCAAATGGTTTCTTTTACTTTTTATCTCTTACCAGACTCCAACTAGAAATGCCAAACCCATCTTCTGAATGTCACCAAGAACAGATTCACTGCACCTAAGAATCTCCCACTGGGAAAATACCACGGCACAAGTTCCTCTTCTGCCTCCTCCACACCTCCAAGGTCAAAGCTCTGAAGCCTGCCCAGCTGTGGTAGCCAATCTCCAAGACGGTGCCCAGGGACTCCACCTCCCAGTACTCACATCATGCTAGGACTGGTCTGTGTGACTAACGGATGGCAAAAATGGTATGTCACTTCAGAGACTTACTTAGAGAAGACACCTGGCTTCTGCCTTAGTGGCTCACTCTCTCAGATCACTTGGTCTGGAGAAGATGTTTCATGAGCAGTCCAATGGAGACAGGCCGACATGGTGAGGAACAGAAACTCTCTGCTAATAGCCATGTGATGATCTGGGACACAGACCTGAAGTCCCAGTCATTCTTCTGATACCGCTGTCCCAGCTCACACTTGCCTGTCACCTCCTGAGAGACCCTAAACTATTACTAACAAGCTAAATTTGGGGGTAATAGAAATCTAATACACATTAGACACTTAATATTATATATAAGTAAAACCGGCCAGCATTGCACCAATATCACCACTGATCTCACCTGACCCGCTGGCCTGATCATTATATTCTTCTGTTTACATGTCTACTGAACACTAAGTACATGTATCTTATTTCCCTGACTTATAATTGCCTAAGGGGGACCCAATATCTCTATTCTTCAAATACAACAATTTGCTATTACAATGCAAGTTCCCTTTGAAAACTTGTTATGTGAATGAATTATACAAGTATAATGGGTTAATATTACCAGCTCAATCGTATCATACAGTAGAAAGAACCTGACACAAACAGGTATATGAAGTTTGATGTGTTTAATCCAATTTGACTGCCCTCAAGATTGCAAAACCTGCTAACTTTTGAAATTTCATTTGGTACTAGTTATATATACATTTTCAAACCTGACAGATTAACAATATAAACATAAGAAGCTAAAATTTATTGTTTATTTTTTATATAAGGTAATTACTAATTGAATTTGCTTTATATCTCCACACAGATTTTCTACAAATGTCCAACTAACAATAGATGCTCACCAGATACTACTAACTAATAAATCTGAGTTTTTACCATCAAACTGTAACCATGTTTTTCCTTTATATGATCATGACTTCCCTCTACAACCATTTTTCCTTATCTTAATTTTCCTTTCCATATTGCATTTTTATCTGTACTTGCTGAATTTCACCTGAAACCCTCTATCAAAGGAGGAAGAGAATAAGTAAAATCACTTCAAGTCTCATTAATCATCTTAATTCTGCTCATACGTTCTTTCATGCTAAGTACCAAACATTACCTACTCACAAAACTCTTCCTGTGTAACTTGCTTCAACAGGATGTTAAAAAAATGGACTCAGTTTCCCTTTCCTGCCCCCAAGCTCCTTCCCTCTGGTCATCCCCGCAGTGCTGTCTGTATCTGCATGTTTGTTAGTTTTTCTTCATTATTCATTTGTTGCTTTGTTTTACAACCCATGTAGGAGTGAAATACATGGTTAACTTTGTCTGACTGATTTTGGGGTCAAATACTGGTGACAGAAGATGATCTGATTTTGGGTTGTGGGCATACGACACAATATACAGATTATGTATCATAACAATGTACACCTGAAATCTGCATAATTCTATTAACCATTGTCACCCCAATAACTTTATTTTAAAAATAGACTCCATACCAATGAACACCTTTCTATGCAAAATAACAGGTTACAAAATTAACTAAAATTTGTATTTTTGAATGAGCAAATGTAGTGAAAAGGCCTGGCTCCTAAACCTTTCTTAAGGTTCTTTCCACGTTTTCACTGAGCTCCTCCATCCACGGGTTAGAGAAGATGCAACAGAAGACTCCGAGGCCTTCGAAGACGGTAGGAGCCACCGTCTGGAAGTCGCCTGAACACCTCTTAGACAGTGAGAGGAGCTGAAATGAACTTTCATTATGTTAAACCACTAAAATTCTGGGAATGTTTATCAAAACCATTCCCTTATCCAAATCAATACCACCAACCTTGAAAATAAGAAAGTTACTATTTTAAGTGATTAAAAATTGTTTTAAATAATAAACTGATCCTACATTCCTTTGACGGTATGCAGGTAATAAAAATGAATTCTTCGTTAACTTGCATGCAAATACAATCTAGCTAAGCACAGATTATACTACATACAATGAAAATTTTTATTTGTTTAAAGTTACATCATCATCCCTTTTTTAAGCTGAAAAATAAAAGTTTCTCTCTGTAGTCTTGTTCTAATTTAGAAACCTAAATAAGGGATCAGTCCTGGCTGGTGCAGCTAAGTGGACTGAGCATGGGCCTGTGAACCAAAGGGTCACTGGTTTGATTCCTAGTCATGGAACATGCCTCGGTTGAAGGCCAGGCTCCCAGTTGGGGGTGCATGAGAGGCAACCACACACTGATGCTTCTCTTCCCCTTTCTCCTCCCCTTCCTCTCTCTACAAAAATACATGAATCTTTTTAAAAAAGGGGGATCAAACACAGTGATATATTTATAATTTCAAACCTACTCATATATTCAAAAATCCCAATGGCAGCTTTGTAGGCAATGTTTCCTACCAACCTGAAGAGAATTTAAATCGGAAGTAGGAGATACACCTGGAAATCTTCCTCAGTTTTGTCTCAGAAAATAAAGATATCAAAAAAAAAAAAAAACCAGTCAAAACTAGTCCCTAGACATGGTAAATATAATTGTTAATAGTAAGTATAGCAATTTCCAGTATTAATATTCAAAAGCGGAAACTCTCCGGATTCCAGGTTCTTTACCCACTAAAAACCCTCCTGAGATCGCCCCCACCCACTCTCACTTCCTCCCTGGAAACCTGCAGGCGCTTCTCTCTTCCCCAGCGCTCCGTCCCACGTGCCTGTGTCGGACCTTGTACGTCAAATTCAAAGACTCGTACCTAAGTTTGGAGAAATGCTCTTGTATGATTTTTCTTTTAATTTTGAGCATTTTCTCTGTTCTTTTTCTAAAACTACCATAAATCAAATGTAAACACCACCTGGGTATCTACTCAATTTACATGTAATTTTGTTTCTATATATACCCTTGATTAACTTAGTTTGTAAGCTAAAAACACTGAATCCGAGATAAAAGTCTGAGCAGTGAATCTCTGAATGCCAATCTACATCCTCCCTGTACGACTGTTGGAAAAGGGCCAAATTCTGAACACCTGCTGAATTTCTTCTGGTGCAGGATAAAATAAAATACCTTAGATTTTTAAATCTTACTAAATAGTTACTGCAGTCTTTCAAAGTCAGTAACAGATCAGTAACAGGGATTCACATACATGTAATTACTTAAACTATTTCTAAAATCAAATAATTTTTCAACAGGGAGAGAAGGAACATCTTCCAAGCATGCCATGAACACACACACAGGTCAGGAACACGCTGACCTCCGAGGCTATAAATCGCCGTGGAGAACTCTGACTCAGAGACAGAGAGCAGATATATAAAGGGAGTTTTTCCTGAGAAGTTTAGCCAAGAAATGAAACACAGGAGAAAAAAATGAATCTGTAATTATTATGAAATCTTCCACTTACTAATTTTATTCCTACTGCTTTCTTTTTCCCTTTGACACTTCAAAGATTAAGGCCAAAAGTTTTTCCTTAAATATCACCTATCCCCTAAGACATTTCATAAGCCCTCCCTTACCATCCAGCTTTCAAATCCATCCTAGAAAACATTTCTTCTAGAAATGTGCTGCATTTCTTACTTCAGTGTCAGAATAAGTTCCACACCTGCGGTAGGTCACTGTCCTTTCTTAAGTGCTATCCATGGCACTAAAGTCCCCATGTAAGTTAATTACAAAGTATTATTTTTAGAAATTAGACATCAAAAGAACTATTAAGTTCAGTACTGCCCCAAACGTGTCTAATTCCCAATCCACCTACTCTCATCATGCACTCTGTCAATGTTGAAGGCTCTACTGTGTTGATTCAAACTCAGCTGCTGTTCGTGAAGGTCCACGGGAATGGGGTTTATGCCCGTCCCTTCGAGGTACAACCTGATCCGCTGCCTCCATAACCACCTGAAGAGAATGAATGAAAAGTAAGTTATGTTAGATAAATTAGAAATGAAACGTTGGGAATTTACCAAATGAAAAATTCACTTTAAAAAACCTAGTTACTCTAGGAACAAATTATTCCAGAAACCTAAAATGCACAGGTTCCTGCTTAGAGACAAGTTTATTTCTCTGTTCAACTAAAACAGAAATATTTAATGTATGTCTACAAAATCTCCCAACAATTTGAATTCAAGTCATATTCTTCATCAAGAATCCAGTAAATCCAAGATGCTGAGCTAGATATAACTGTGTTGTGCTCATCAGAAAGTGTAAGATTTGCCAAAAAAAAAAAAGGAATTCTGAAATTGAAATAACATTGTGTTAAGGTGGTCAGATTAGATTAAAATCCTTCACCTTAAACTTAAATGGCATTTCTGATATAAGTAAAGAAGAAAAGAATCAGGTTTAATTGGTTTCAACACCAAAAACTAATGTATCAAAAAGCCGATGGGACGGAGTCTGCCAGATGCATATACAAGAATACACCCCCACTTGGTACCTACCGTCACTTGTAGAGATGCCAAACTTCTGAAATGACTATAAGTGAGAACCATTATTAATGGTTCCAGAAGTCAAAAACATATACTACAATTATCCAAATACCCAGAGAAAAAGCTTTCTCGTGCTATAAATTCTAGTCCAAGTCAGGGAGTCAAATCTGGTGCCACTGGGCTCTCTCTAATACAATCGGCCACCCCACCTCCACCCCTCCCTCACCCCTCTCTTCTCCGGGCAGTCTGACCACTGAACAGATTCCGTGAAAGAAACACGGGAAAAACCCATCCCAACTGCCTAAGAAACACTTAACATGTAAGGCAGCGATCTACCAAGAATTTCAGCAAGGCTGGAGTAAATCTAACCCTCTGTCATTCTGGATGGGAGAAGACAAGGGTAAGAAATAGAAAATCTTAGCAAATTTGAACACTCAGTTTTAGTCAACAGTTTTAACTATCTTTCTACCAAATTGCAGGAACATGTAACAAGGTTAACGAAATTGGAGACATGGCCTCTATCTCACTGAAGGAGAAAGACGTCTACTTGCAACTAATTCATAGGCCAGATGGCATTTGTCAGGGTTTCTCTACACAGTTCAGTTGGACTAGAGAAGGTAAGTCAGGTGTGGTTGTGACCCAGCTAACGTACTGCTTTTCACGACTACTGTTGTAACTATGCACTAAACCATATCTTATCTAATTCAGTTTCACCACATTTTAATGGCACACATTTATTAGCAATAGTAAGTAATTCCTACCTGAACTCACCGCGATAGAACTTCTGTAAGGCTTCTGGGAAGGAATGCGTGTATCGAACAGGAAGACATAAATGACCCTCGGACCTTTATTTGAAAGGGGGATATGAGGTGGTATAAAGGGAAGAAGAAGAAAAAAATAATTTAAAAACCACATAAAACTTCTACTCTATACTTAATTTTTTGCCACAAAACTGTCTGTATTTTCAACAAGGACAAAAAAAGAGCAAATATACAGTTTAAATCCAGCTTTACTGCCATAATACACAGTACTACTTAGCTTCCACGTCACAGTGAACTGAAAAGACAGGAACTTTGCCACTGGTTGACTGCCCTGCAAAGCCATGTAACCGCACAGTGCTGTGTGCATCTCACCTTTAAATTATCTAACTATTAACTTTGGGCAGCCACTTTAACATCAGCTCCTTCCACTCCACGCCACAAAAAAGGCCACCAATCTCAAAAGGTTACTCTGAGAAATCGAGCTATTTTTATGTGAAAGTGTTTTGAACTATAAATCTCTTTTAAATGTCACTTAAAATATTACAAGTCATCAAAAGAAAACTCAGAAAGTTTAATCCAACATAATGCTTCATTTACTCAAAACGTATCAGGATAAACTCCTTCAAGGAGTTAACAGCATGATGTAGATAGAAGACAGATTTTTTTTTCATTGCAAATTACAAAGTGTCAAGATTGCCTACAGGGAATTGCTACAGGATGATGAGAGAATGTGGCACCTAACATAAGGAAAGGTGTCCAGGAAGCTCAAGTAGCATCAATCTTGAAGGAAAGGTTGAGAATACCCTTCGCAAAAACACACTCTTGGTAATGCCTGTAAGTTAACTTGTAAGTGTGAAGAGCAGGAAAAAAGGTCTTCACAAAGCTGTGCCTAGCCAATATCTTTACCTGAGAGGGTCACCACTGAGGCCTAAAACTTTATGGAGTGTTCTCTGCAATGCCTTACCTAGTGCTAAGCAAATAAAAGGTATCAACAGTCATTGGACAGAACAAGCCCTGAGGTCCACCACAGATCTAAAGCCCCCCGGAGACCAGAGAGTTAGGGCTATCAGCATCTGAAAGCCTGACCTGGCCTGGAGGGTGCACTTCCAATGTGATTCACTCACTCCCGCTGGCAAACCGGTGTTGGCTGCTGGCAAACCGGTGCTGGCTGCTGGCAAACCGGCGCTGGATACTGGCAAGAGGCCTCAACTCCTCTCCATGGGCTGCTTAGGTATCTCACACCACAATGAGTAATCTAAGAAACTGCAATATGAAGCTGGAATATCCTTGCCTTGGAATCCATACACTGACACCCCATATTCTATTGGTCACAAAGACCAGCCCTGATTAAATATAGAAGGGGAACCACACAAATAGGTGCAAATACTAGGAAGTGCCTACTTCCACATGCTGGCTACCACATGCTCTCCCTCATTCTGATTATTAAGCATTCAAATGTCACATTTACCAGGCTCAGTAGAATGAGTGCAGAATGCAGAAGAGACAAGCAGAAATTATACGCTTAATTTAAATGAGTTCACATAAGGAATACTAAGAAGTAGATCCTCCAGCCCAAGTCAAGCCTTCAGATGCCTGAAGCCCAGATGGCATCTCACTATAAACTCATGAGAGACACCAAACCAACGCCACCCAGCCAAGCTGCTCCTGAATTCCTGACACACAGAAACCGTGAGAGATAATTGGTGATGATTATTGTTCTAAGCCTCTAAATTTTGGTGTGATTTGTTATGCAGCATTTGATACTTAATACACAGGAGAAGAAATCTAAGTTTAGCATTAACTTCTGGGCTTATTTAAGGATTGTAAAAGACCATAGTGCTTAAGAAAAGAAATCAGGCAAGCTGAGTTACTCGACAAGTTAGCAGGCTTAACCCATTTCTACCTGAATGCAAGAAGAGAAACCAAAGGACTTGTGAAAGCTATTATTCTTGGTGAAAATTAGAGAGTAACACAGTCCATTTGGCATTTCAAAATCCCCACAGCTTATGAGTATTAAGTCATCTTTTTAAAGGAAAACATATTTTAGTAAACCATGTGAAATTTCTAGAATCTCTTAATGATATAAAAATATGCCATTTAAGAGGTTCTAAAATACATATGCATCAACAATGAGGGCAATCAAAAAGTCATACCTGAACCAATGATCTCAATTACTTGTGCTTAGGGAATCTTAACTCAGCTAGTTGGGGGGTGCTCACCCTGCTCCCTAAGATCATTTAATTAATCACTTCAAATTCCTGTTTCCTACTGACTATACAGAATACTTCAATGGTGATAGAGAAATTAAAACACAAAGTCCTGTACTCACGAAATTCAGTCAAGAGGAAGAAAGAAATCAAGCGGGTACAACATGAGGAGACAAGCCCTCTCCGCACAGGGACTTACAGTCAGAGCCCCGCGGAGGCGCCAGTCTGGAGTGAGTCAGAAGTACTGGGCTGGGAAGGTGGTATCAGGGCACTCCGGGCAAAAGCACACGCAAAGGCACGAAAAGGACATGGCCTGTGGAGGACTCCCTCTTTCCAGTCCTGTTATCTTCAGAACCAGCAAAGCTCCTCACCAGCAAAACCCTCCACACGTGAGCCTCCAGCCATGGCGTCAGCTTACACTCACACACTACATTTGCACTTAGAGAGGCCTTTAGGGCGGAGGGTGGGGGGATTAGAGGAAGGTGGTCCAAAGTGCAAACTTCCAGTGCTAAGTTGTAGGACATCATAACTACAGTTCACACTGCTGGATGGTATATTTGAAAGCTACCAGGAAAGTAAATCCTAAGAGTTCTTCTAAAGAGAGGAAAAAAACTTTCTTTACTTTTTTTCTATATCTAAGAGATGATAGATGCTAACTAAACTTATTGTGGTATCCATTTCACAACATATGTAAGTTAAACCATTATGCTGTATACCTTAAACATATACATTGATGTATGCCGATCATAGCTCAATAAAACTGGGAAAAATACAATTCAAAAAAAAAAACAACAGCCTTTAGAAAGGACTGCAGGCTGTTCCCAGGGGGCGTTGGTGCTATTTTTTAACCGAAGAGGGTATGGTACGAGGAAATGAAGCTGGCTGACACTGCAAAAGCACACGGGCAAAAGCAGCTGGAGAAAGATGGTGTGTACTGCACCGAGAAATCTGCGATGTGCCCAGAAGGTCACGGATTGCAGTTACAAGATTTTAGTTGAGCCCTGGCTGGTGTGGCTCAGTAGACTGAGCACCAGTCTGTGAACCAAAGGGTCACTGGTTCGATTCCCGCTCAAGGCACATGCCTGGGTTGCCTCCCCAGGCAAGGGGCACACGAGAGGCAACCACACACTGATGGTTCTCTCCCCATCTTTCTCCCTCCCTTCCCCCCTCTCTAAAAAGAAATAAAATACTTTTTAAAAAAGATTTTACTTGAGGAGTGGACACAATCAGACCTATACTTTGGAAAAACAGGAAGGCGCAGTGTAAGGACGGGTGGAGCGAGCCTGGGAGCTGTTACCATAAAAACAAACTACGGACGCCTGAGCTATGATTAGGCGCAGTGAGGGCAGTGAGGATGGCAAGAGACGGATTCAAAGGCAGGGCCCCTACAACTCAGACTTAGCTCCTTAGACCAATTTGATGAGAGGTGAGGGTTGGGTAATCACAGCTTCGGCACAAGTTACGGCTCCGTTCACCCAGTGTGGAGGGGAAGGAGACAGGTTCCTTCGCAGACATATTACATTGGTAATAGCACTGCATACACTTAAGTAGGCAACAACATAGCTAAAATAGCATAAGGAAAGAGGAAAAAAGGAGATAAGGACACAGAAGAGTCAAGGACCAAGTAATATAGTTTCACATGTCACAGTTAAGGTAACCAACTGTCGCACTTTGCCTGGGACGTAGGAGTTTTAGTGAAAACTAGGACAGTCCCTGACAAAACAAGATGAGATGGTCATCCCAGCCACAGAAAAGCATTAGATTTCTTTCTGAGTTAGATGAAGAACCACCATAAGATACTGAGCAGAGAGGTCACACAACAGTATCAAACTTTCATAAAATGATCACTTCAGCTACAGTAAGGAGGAGAGACTATAAATAAGAGTAAGAAAGGAAGCAGAATCAATGACGGATATAAAGATTTTGGACTCACCAGGACCTAAGTTAAAACCATAGATATTAATCAGTTATTCTAAAGACAGTACAAAGGGGACAAAAGACCCAGAAGATAATATGTGAAAACACCAGCAGGTAAGCAGTGGCCAAAAAATAAGATCCTCTGAAAGAGACAGCACCAAAGAAGTAGCCATGAAGGTAGAAGAAAGGGGCATCATAAAGGCCAAAGAGGTGCAGATGCAACAAGGGAGCAGTTAGCACCAGAAATTCCCCAGAAATCAAGGAGCACAAGGCCTAAAATGTCCAGCGGGCTCAGTAACCAGAGCAACACCAGCGTGTACGGCAAAGGCAGTGTCAACGAGCTGGTTGGGGCAGATCCAGAGAGGACTGCAGAGGTACAGAAAAAAACTGTCAAGGAAGGAAGCGGAGGTACCAAGCTTTGGGAAGAAAGGGAAGGAAGAGAAAATAACCAAGACAGTGACACAGAATAAAGGACTTACTAAATTTTCTTGAAAGATGGAAGTCTGAAGTTTTTAGCCTAAAAGGAAAGCATGTGTGAAGGGAGAGAGGAGGAAAGGAAACAAATGACAGAATAAGGTGGGTTTTTAAGTGTGAGAAAAGCTGCAGTTTGAATCCAGTGACTTTCGTTTCCTTTATGGGAGAAGGGTGGGTTGAAGGAAGAAGGGCAAGGAAAGCGAGGAGGACACACAAGCTGAAGAACAACCCCTGAAGGAGCTGTCACAGGAAATGGGAAAGAGAGGTGACGTGGGCCAGGTAGGGACTTTTCTGAGCAAGTCTGCAAGTGCAGTCCTAAGTGTTAGAAACTACATATGGAAAGTAAATTTGAGCCACCAAACTGGGCCACCAAGCCCCAGTGTTTATGATTTTTTTCTCCCCACATGGTCTCAGCAGTGCCAATGTAGGAATGGAAAGGATGATTAATCTAGGATTAAGCAGAAAGATAACAATATAAAATATTTAAGAAATCTATCAAGAAAGTAAGAAAGGATTAAGTGAGGAAACTAGAGGGGATAAACTCGGTGAAAATCACAGAGTAGATTTAGCAGGGTTGAGGGACTAAGGCTGCTGTTACAGTAGGAGGCTGTGGTCAGAGAGGAATTAAGATTGGAGACATGGGAAAATCCTAGATGGTCATCAAGCCCAGGTATGGTCATGGCTATACCACAGCCATGGAACAGAATTAAAGTAAATGTCAGTGAAGCTAAGGAAAGAAGGAAAAAACAATGTAAAATTTGGCCTCTTCATTAAGTCAGCGCAGTCACCAGAAATCAGTGGAGGCATAACCGGGAATGTAGATGAGCGTCGTAAGAAAGAACAGAAGATGGAGCACTGTTAACTCATCCCTCTGCGGCAATACCAAAGGTCACTAACACTCTCCTGGGTCAAGGGTCGGGTCTATTCTGTCTCAGGTAGTACTCCTGAACTATCTGGGGAGTCAGATGTAATGACTCGTCTGTCCCATATCAAAATTTTCTACCAGCAATGCCAGTTAAATATACCTTTCTCGTGCCTGAGCTAAAAACAAGAGCTACATCCGGAAAATAACCACAGAGAAGAAAATTTGATTAGAGGAAGAGACCAATTCTATATGCCTAAATTTTGTCACTAAATGTTTTTGGAACACGGTTCTCATGTTCATGATAGCCAGGAGCAACGATACTTCCACTTAAACATCATGCGCCACAGTCAGCTCCTTGGATCAACAGAACCCAGCAACGACTACTGTACGGACAATTAAGAATATTAAGACTTATCAAAAACAGATACTATGAAAAGCAAATCATAAATGTCTGTATGTATTACACTAAAAAAAGCCAAATGAATAAAAAAACAACAAAATGTGTTTTGCCTTACCGTTCAGGATCAGTGTTTACTCCAATAACTGGTTTAAGTCTGTCCAACACTTTACTTGCTGCCAGAAGCATTGTGCCGTCACCTGAAGGGCAGACAACACAACCAGGCTTATTATAAAACTACATCATTTGAACACTAGTACTTTTGTTTGAACAAAAAAAATGGCCCAAATGAAAGAACAGGTCAAAGCTCCAGAACAAATACAACTAAGCCACGAAGAAATAGCCAACCTATCAGATGCACAGTTTAAAACACTGGTAATTGGGATGCTCACAGAACTGGTTGAATTTGGTCACAGATTAGGTGAAAAAATGAAGGCTACACTAAGTGAAATAAAGGAAAATGTACAGGGAACCAACAGTGACAGGAAAGAAACAGGGACTCAAATCAACCGTGTGGACCAGAAGGAAGACACAATCAACAAGAACAGAATGAAGAAACAAGAATTCAAAAAAATGAGGGGAGACTTAGGAACCTCCAGGACATCTTTAAACGTTCCAACATCTGAATCATGGGGGTGCCAGAAGGAGAAGAGGAGCAAGAAATCAAAAACTTACTTGAACAAATTATGAAGAACTTCCCCAATCTGGCAAAGGAAATAAAACTTCCAAGAAGTCCAGGAAGCTCAGAGAGTCCCAAAGAAGGTGGACCCAAGGAAGCACACACCAAAGCACATCATCATTACATTAGCCAAGATCAAAGATAAGGAGAGAATCTTAGAAGCAGCAAGAGAAACGGAGACATTTAGCTACAAAGGAATGCTCATCAGACTGTCAGCTGATTTCTCGAAAGAGACCTTGCAGGCAAGAAGGGGCTGGAAAGAAGTGTTCAAAGTCATGAAAGGCCTCCAAGATTACATCCAAGATTGCTCTATCCAGCAAAGCTATCACTTAGAATGGAAGGGCAGATAAAGTGCTTCTCAGATAAAGTCAAGTTAAGGGAGTTCATCATCACCAAGCCCTTATTATATGAAATGTTAAACAGACTCATCTAAGAAAAAGAAGATAAAAAATATGAATAGTAAAATTACAACAAACTCACAGTTATTAACAACCAAACCTAAAACAAAAACAAACTAAGCAAACAACTAGAACAGGAACAGAATAACAGAAATGGAGATCACATGCAGGGTTATCAGTGTTGGAGTGGGTGGGGAGAGCAGGGAAAAAGGGACAGAGAATAAGAAGTCAATAAATGGTAGGTAGAAGAGAGACAAGGCGAGGTTAAGAACAGTACAGAAAATGTAGAAGCCAAGGAACTTATAGATATGACCCATGGACATGAACTAAAGGGGGGGAAATGCAGGTGGGAGGGGGTGTGCAGGGTGGAGGGGAATAAAGGGGGAAAATGGGACAACTGTAATAGCATATCAATAAAACACATGTTTTTAAAAACCCAACCCTTTAAATCATACTTGAAGTTAAATGCACAGCTTGAACAGACACACAGAAATATACACATGCAACTTCACAGTAACATCATCCACTTAAAAAGGGAAATGCTACATAAAACACATCTTTTTAAACTTGATTCTAGAAATCCAAAACTCTGCAGGCTTCACCACAGCCAGACCGCGGGGTACCCAGAGTGTGAGTATTAAGGAGCACTTCTGTAGGCCCACTTCTCTATCTCAAACTGTCACCTCCGGCAGCTATGACAGCATCTGCCCATCGAACAGTTTCTTCATCATATTCTCTCCTCTTCACTAGACGAACCTCGATTCCCTCATTCCTGAGATAAAACACAAAGTATAGGTCATATAGAAGTTCCACTAATAACATAAAGGAGTATGTTTTCTGAGCGGCAGATCATTACAATAGAAATATAAAATGAACAATGTTGTTTTATAAACAAATTTATGTTTAGCTTTGTAAAGTAAGCTTCATTTTAATTGCAGCAGCCAACTAACTATAAGTCAGGAAGCATATGAACTGAAAGTTAATCTCTACTGATGTTAAAATTCATTCATACAAAAATGACCCCAAAGACTAACACCTTGAGACATAATTTTTAAGTTACAAAACTGAATAGCCATTATTTTAAATCCAGTAAATATTCACTGAGTGCCAGACACTGAAATAGTAACTAATTTCTAATTTGCATGTTCTCATACTTCTCCTGTACACACATAAACATATTCACTAACTACACTGAGCCCCAAATTCACCAAAGTTTCTATAATGATCATTTTTAGACATTCAAATAATAGTGTAAGGAACACCCATATAACTCAGTATTGTTTAATTAATAAAACATCACGCACAGAGTTGAAGCCTGCTCTGTACAAAAATAGCCCCTTGTAGAAAAACCACTTCTGGGACAGGTCAAATAACTGAAAATCTGTGAAATTTCCAGAGTACAATAAAAATTTCCTTAGAAACACTCTATCAGGCCCATTTATCACAGTACCATTTTCTGAAAGTGATTATATAATGGCAATCTTTACTGAAAACCTAGTGATTGCCCTGGCCCGTATGGCTCAGTTGGCTGGGCATCGTCCCAAACTTAAAGGTCATGGGTTCAGTTCGATTCCCAATCAGAGCACATACCTGGGCTGCAAGTTCAGGGCTTCCACTCCTGCCACCTCCCCACCTCCCGCCTGCCCCTGGTTTGGGGGGGACGTCAGTTTAGAGGAGGATGTCAAGGCACACAGGGAAGACAATCAATCAACATCTCTCTCATTTGATGCTTCCCTCCCCCTCTCCTTCTCCCTCCCTTCCCCTCTCTCTAAAAAATAAAACATTTAAAAGACTGAAAAAAAAAATGATTAGCTTCTAGTTAGGGAAAAACTGGAATTCCTGAATACAGACCCACCCAAAATCCAACCCAACAGACTTACCGTAAACTATCTAGAATATGCTCAACATTTTTGGTGTGAATATGATGTCGTTCAAGCAGTCCACTGTAGCTAGAGCCTTTCAGTGCAAGCTACATCAAAATAAAAAAAGTGTTGTCTTATTAGATGATATACAGTACATATATTATAACTTATTTCCTTTAAAAGTCCTGCATAAAACAGAGTGAGGTTTTATTTGAAAGTACATTTTAATGACTATTTGTGAAACTTAAGTTTAAACTGCACTAGAAAGTCTGATTTCAGAAAAATCACAATACCAAATACATTAAGTTTCCTAAATCATGTAGTCAACAGGCTCTCATAATCTGCATGTTTTAAAACTGGAGTGTTAACACTCCAGTTTAAATGGATTTTTAACACAATGCATATGGCTACTTGAAGATCAAAGATAAACTAATATTTTAGAAGGCAGGTGACTTTTGTTCCACTTGGATGCACAGCCCTCTTGTGTTTAGATTCATGAACTCTGTTTGGTGTTTACCCAATCAAGCCGAATAAAGGGCAGGTTAGCTCTCTGAATGGGTAACTTTGAGATATAAAGACATGTTATCTTTAGAGAATTATCTCTCCCAGTCTATTGGAATGACATTTTATAATGTCGCTATCTTACTTTTAATACTCTCCTTTTAAAAGTATTTCTTCTAAATAATCCATAAAGTAAAATGTTAAGAGAGCAATTTAGAAATATCCTCAATGAATGTCCATTTAAATCATCAAAATAGGAAATTTATCCACTAGAATACATGCTAGAATTAAAAGCATGTTACCTACTTTTCGTCTCCAAATTCCCTTATACTTTGCCTGTGTCGTAAAGACCCAGATTCCGTTTTAAGTACCTGTCTAAAATGCAATCTTAAATATACTTTGTTTAAATCATTACTCGTGATTACAAAGTAGAACCAATTTTAGATAGAATTTTTAGTAATATGTATTTTACTTTTTTAAATGGTTATAAAATAACAACGTGAAAAATACACATACAAAGAAAACTTTAATTAAATAGAATCTTGTTACCCCAAGATACTCTGTGTTGATTATACCTGACACATGCCCTCCCAGTCTTTTGTTTGTAAGTACTGAGTTAAGAGTTTCAACAGAGGCGCACAGGACCCATCTGGCCGCGTGTGGCAAAGCCACAAAGATACACTCGATCCGACAGCCACCGCAACACCTTAATGCCTAGACTTAAGTCTCATACTTAGGGCAAACCAACAACAAATATTTTTTTTACAGAAAAGCAGTGACCAAGGTAATAATTAGATAAACTTTCATTTGCTCGTTGAATTAACAAATCAACATGAACCAAGTTTGGAAAACAACTCTAAGAGTAGAACTGCTGAATATGAATGCACACAGCATTAACGTTCGTTCAGATTATCATCACTTGACTGCAGATTAACTAAAACTACACTACCTCTCAATGAATACGGGTCATAATGCTGCTGCTTCTCACTCTCTCTCCCTGGGGACTCTCCAGTTTAAGGCTTTCTTTAATATTGATCTGTATGCAGATGCTGATGACTGCCAATTTGCTTATCTCTAACTTGCTGGCCTAACTTTAGGACTCCATATGAATGCAACCAACAATGTAGTTAACATCTTTCTCTGGATATCTAACAGGCATCTCAACCTACTGTGGTCAATTCATGATTTTCTAGCAGATTAGCTACCATGCTATTATGTCACAATAACTGTCCTTCATAAACCCATCTCCATAGAGAACACTTTATACAGCTAGAAACTGAGCTCTAAAAATTAAATTTATTCATTTAGATATTTGAGTGTTCACTTGAACATTAATTGAACTCAATCGAATGTATTAAATGGAGCACTAAAAACTGCTAAGGACAACGAGGACTAATTCAAATGTACAATAAGTCAAATTTACTGCTTCTGATCCACTATAAATAAAACTTAAGGGTAGCTGCCCTCAGACTTCAATTCCCGGTCCGAATTTTCTCTTCTGTTCCAATTTTTGGCTTGGACCAGACAGAAGATGCACCCAGGAAGAAAGGATACAAATCCTACTCTGGTGGTTCAGAAGCTTTAGCGCTCACTTCCAGGCTCTCAGAAAATTCCGGAAAATTAAGGTTATTCAGCAGCTGAATGTTGAAAAACTTAGGTTTTTGACTGGGAAGGGGGAGTGAACTTGTGGGGAAAATAATTTTGGAGAACTAACAAGAAACTTCAAGCTTTTCCATGACTTTAATAAGTTTTCCAATCAATGCTAAAATCCCAAATCTAAATACAAAGTTCATTTAGCATCAGAATATCTAGTATTGGAGCAGAAATCTCATTTCATAAGTTCTTGTTCCCACTCCAATTTCTTCTTGTAAACTAACTCTTTAATAACTTATGTGTCAATTAATTTAGAGAATACAAGTTATTATGTTGTTTTCTTAAAGCTCTGACTTGAGTAGTACACTTCATTCACATGGACTGGCTGAACTAGTCAGGTAAGAAATAGGCATTTTTAAAAATCACTTAAGCATCAATTAGAAAGTCTTAAATCTATTCAACTTGCTCTTACATTTTTAAAAATGTTTCAAAGTCTGGTAAGAACTTCTAACTACTGAAAAAAGACTTCTAAAAAGTCTTTAAAAAAAGAGAAACTTTTAAGTCAAAGACTTAAAAACATACTTTAATCAGACAAAGAAAGAATTGAATTCTTTGCAAAATGTGTTATAATTAAGAGGTCAGACAAATTACTTAGATTTAGAACAGTCTCAGTTCTGTACTACTACACCTCAGGTGTCTGTAACAGTCTATTTTTTTCCAAAAACTTATTTTAGTACTTATCTGCATTTAAAAATATTTTTAAATGATTCACCCGGATACCAGAAAAAGCAGTATAAATCTAAAAGATCTACAGACACATTTTGGAATAAGCAACAGTGTCTCCTACAAAACCTCCAAAATCCAACATCATCTCTCCCCACGAGGCTCTGACGGAAAAGCACAGCAAAGTGAACGGATAAAAGGAGGATTCGGAACGGAAAGAAATTTACCCCAGCTTAAGGTCAGATGCGATAGTTATGCTATTTTCTAAGCAATCCAAACAGTTACTTAATTATACTTGACCAAAACTGAATTCATTACAAACTTTAAACACTTGTTTTACCTCAGTTGAGCGTTACTACTTCATACGCCATGTAATTTTGACAAAAGCTCAGCAAGGGAAGGAAATACATGAGAAACGCACAAGCTTTTGAGACAATGAGTTTGACATATAAACTCACTAGTCATAATTTAAGTACTCTTAAGAGCTGACGCACTTAACTAAGTGGTGGACTGTTACTCAAAACTGCCATAAAAGGATCAGTGACAAGGAATTTTGCAGCTACAGAGTGAACTACGCTCACCTCGCATGACGGGGCCCAGTGCAATGAACCCAAAGTGTTTCTTCAGACACACTTGGCATTCATCTTGGATCGCTTCTATTCCACTTACACTTTCTCCCCGGCTCCTCCACTTTTACTTTTCCCATCGTTATCGTCCCACCTCCGCACTCATGTTCTGAATTCTGTCTCCCTACTCCCTGATATGTTGGAATTGTTCGAGTTTCCATCTTTGGCTTTCCCTTTTTAAAAATTCTCTTACTGTTGTTCGATTACAGTTGTCCCCATTTCCCCCCAGTCCTCTCCTCTCCCCACCCAGCCCCCACTTCCCACATTCAATCCTCCCTCCCTCACTGTCATCTTTGTCCGTGGGTCCTTTATACCTGTTCCTTGGCTTTCTTATCTGCTCCTGCTCCACTCTCCAGAGACTTGATCTACCAAGCACACACCAGTAACCAGGAAATCTAGACTTAGTTTAAGGCTTTCTCTTGAGCTACAGGCTCAAATTCCCAAATCCGCCCAGAGGTAAATCAAACATGTCTCCCCAAAACCATCTAAATCTGATCACCTATGCCTCCTTCAAATTTGCTCTTCTGAGCCCCATATGTATCAGTTTGTAACACCTCCCTTGACCTAGTCAACAGAATAAATCCAGGGAGCCCCTTTAACTCTCCCCTTACACTCAATCTACACAGCCAGTCACGGAAGGCCAACCATTAAGATGTGTGCAAACTGTTTCTCCCTTCTGTCCTTGACACTCATGAAGCCTCTGCTTGAGTTCTGGACATCAGCTCTTATCTAGTTTCATGCAATAGCCTGCTTCTAGAGTTCCCCAACTGGTTCCTTCTTTCAAAGTGTTATTTCCCACTATCTCCACCTAACCACCACCACCGGAAGCCTGCTTTCCCACCAGTCCCAGAACAGTGTCTCAGAAACACTGACCCTCATTACTCCCCTCCCGTGGGAACAGAGTAGGGGAGAGCAGGGGCTGCGCTCCAGCACTATAAAGTGGAAAACCAGTGCAAGGTGAAGCCAGCCCCTTCACAGGACACAGGACACCTTCACAAGGGCCGCCTCCCTGCTGAGCCTCGGCACACGTCCTCCTGAACAGTGACTGCCAAACCCCGTTCCGGTGGTCCCCAGGGCCACCTAATGGTCACAGCCAGCATTATCAAAGGGAAGATAAACTGCCCCACACGTAACAAGACAAAATTGTCTGTTACCTTTTATTTTAAATATGACTATATGAAATACATCTAAGTCGCGATGTAAATTTTTTTGGCTGTGGATTGCAGTAAAAAACGTTTGAGTTCTTTTCACTGGCCTAAAAAATGAACTTTCCCACTATCTTCCTAGTATTGTTCTCTCCCCATCACCTATGTATTCTTCCTTATTCTTCAATATTTAATTCAAATATCCTAAAATGAAAAGATTTCGTTTCACTTTCATCACATTGTCAAAAATATAAGTCTCCAAAGTGCTGATAATAATGTAGGGAATCGGAGTCATTCAATGCTTATGGAAAGTTTATTTGTACTTCCAATTGAAGCATTTTTTAAATAGTAGAAAAACTTGAAACTTAATTATCCAATCAGTGGAATATAAACAGTTAAGATAAACTAGTACATATCAACACAGATAAGCTTCAAAACCAATAGTGAAGAAAAGCAAATTTCTAAAGAACAGGCACATATGCTAAACAATGATATTATCAATGTAACTTTTTAAAAACA